TTTTCATAAGAATTCAATTCTTTTCATAAATAATAAAAATTTTCATCAATTCAATTATTTAAATTAGAACTTGCATACAATTATTTTAAAGAATTGAATTATTTAAAAATTTTTATAAAATTCTTTGCAAGAATTAAATTATTTTTTATAAATATATTTTAAATTTCATAAATAATAAAATTCGTAGCAGGAATTCAATTTATTAACAGGATAAGAAAAAAGTAAATATTTTTGATGAAAATTAGGAAAAAGTCAAGAAAATAAAAAATATAGAATGGAATTTTTGTCAATTTTAAATAAAAATAAAAATTTTTTTGGTTTTTTTTACATTAAGAAATATATAACAATAAAACGTACAAAAATTAATTTTCAAAACAAACAAATGAATGGAAAGAATTTGCTAACAGAAAGGAAACTTACGATTATTATAAAGTATATATGTGTTTTATAATAATTATTTTTATTTTATAATTATGTAATTCAAAATTGTAATGTCAAATAAAAATCATCAGAATTTTTATCACTGCTTTTCATTAAAAGACTAAAATTCTGTTAAATTTTTTAAATTTAACAAAATTTACAATTTTTTGTTTTGTCAAATTGAAATTATGCAGATTTTTGTTCTTTACTTCTAAGCAAAATTAGAAAATTGTTAAACAAGTGTGATTAAGAAATAGAAAATTTATTTATTCTGAATTATTTTTCTTTATGAATCACAATTTTTTTTAACAAAATTATTATTTTCTTTTAGAAAAAGAAGAAAAATATTTGCACAATTTCTATTTTTAATCTTATTTTTGGAACATGATTTTCCACAGGAATTGAGACATTCAAAAATTTCAAATTCAAACCTTTTTTAAATTCAACAACTTTTAAAATTATTGTTATAAAACATGAAGATATCGATTGCTCAGAGTCGAAGACTCGGAGTGATCGATTTCTTCATGTTTTCTAATAATTAAAGATGACCGAGAGATAAAATCATTATTTTATATAAGAATATTGTTACTCTAACTTTATCAAAATTATTTTCATCATTTTAATTCAATTATTTTTTTCTAGAATTTTAAATTATTTTTTATGAAAATAATTGAATTCCTGAGAAATTTTTATTATTTATGAAAATAATTAAATGTTTGCATACAATTTTATTAATTTTTTTTTTAAATAATTGAATTCGTTTTTGGGAAATTTTATTAAAATCTTAGATATTGAAAATCATTGAAATTAGACAATTTTTTGAAAATAATTGAAATTAGGACAAGAATTTTTTTGACATTTATGAAAATAATTGAACTTTGGAAAAGAATTTTTTTATTTATAAAGATAATTGAGATTCTTACGAAAATTTTTTTCAAATTTTGAACATAGTTGAATTTTATAAGAATTTAATTTTTTTGAAATAATTGAATTTTTGCAGTTATTTGTAATTTCTCCAAAATTGAATTTTTTTAGTGTTTTCAACAAAAATTTAAATTAGAAAATTTTTAAATTCTATTATTTTTAAAATTGCTATTTTTGTTTTTAAAAAAAGCCAGTAAGAAGGTAACCGTGCACTTTATCGCGCGAATTGTTGCTAGTCAGTAAATAATTAATTACCAAAATGGATATCGTTCAACTAAATAGATAATTAGATAATTATATAAATAATTAAATAAAAAAATAGTTTAATAAAAAGATAAATAGAATTAAATCGAATCAAATAATAATAAATAGTTATTTAATTAATTTAATTATTAATTGATTTAATTAATTGTATATTTTTACAATAAAATAAATAATTATCTGCGAGTATCGAATACTACTCTCGCATAATGCAAACTACTGCACGAAAAAATCCTAAAATAAACCACGTACAGCATCAAATGGTCCAGAATAAATATATATAAATAAATGTGTGATGTTATTCGCATTTAAAGCCGTGAATGGAATTTATTAGACAGTAAAAGGTGGGGTTTTACAAGCGCAGGACAAGTGAAGGCACTATGTAGTATATATATACGAAACTTATGGGTTTGATTATTATGCAATATGAAAGCGGGTTTATACCAAGCAATATAGAAGTAAAATATATTTGTAAAAGGTGCTACTTCGCTCTGGAACTGTGGCAATGTCATCGAACTTGCATAATGACTATTTAATTCAATTATAAAAAGATGCGCGTAAAATTAAAAAAAGAAACAACATCCTACACTCTCGCATGTGTATCGTCACGTTAACTCGAATTTTTCGTTTATAAATATTTCATTATATTTGACATTTTAATTCCAAAAATTTACGTCTTTCGACATTATAATAGTAATGCGTATATAAAAACCAACAAATCAAAATTTATTACCAGTTTAGTTTTGAAACAAAAAAGAAGTCACTCCATCCAGAATACTCTGAATTTTACACAACTTTTTGTTTACTGGAAAAAGTCTTAAAGCAATTAGAATGCTTGTTTTTTTGCAACTTTATTTTTTATGAATGATTCATTTTTAATAAATGAAGTTATTTACAATAAAATATTCTATCCTTCAGGATGTTGTTCAGCAGCATCCCAGCAACAATATTTGTTGTTAACAGACTATAAAAAATAATGAAATTGAAAAGAATTAAATTTAAACTTCTTTCTATGACAATTTTGATCTTCTGCTAGTGTCCGGCTGTGATTACAAATATTCAAAAGCGTTTAAAAGTTTAAAAAAAAATTCTATCCTTCAAAGTTTTGTTCAGTACCATTCCAGCATCAATCTAGATTGTTTTTAGTCCATGAAAAAGCTTAAAATTGAAAAGAATTTAAATTAAACTTCTTTTTGTGACAATTTTGATCTTCTGCTGGTTTCCGGCTGTGGTTAAAAATATTCAAAAGCGTTTTAAAGTTTTAATAAAATTTTCTATTTTTTAGGATGTTGTTCAGCAACATCCCAACAACAATGTAGAATGTTTACAGTCCACAAGAATTATGAAAATTAGACGGAATTTAATTTAAAATTATTTTTGTGACAATTTTGATCTTCTTCTAGTTTCCGGCTGTGGTTACTAATATTTAAAAGCGTTTAAAAATTTCAATAAAATTTTTTATTCTTTAGGGTGATGTTCAGCAACATCCTAACAACTATCTAGATTGTTAACAGTCCATAAAAATTATTAAAATTAAAAAGAATTTAATTTAAAATTCTTTTTATGACAATTTTGATCTTCTGATAGTTTCCGGCTGTGGTTACAAATATTTAAAAGCGTTTAAAAATTTCAATAAAATTTTATATTTCTTAGGATGTTGTTCAGCAACATCTAGCAAGAATCTACATTGTTTACAGTCTACAAGAATTATTAAAATTAGAAGAAATTTAATTTAAAATTATTTTTGTGACAATTTTGATCTTCTGCTGGTTTCCGGCTGTGGTTACAAATATTCAAAAGCGTTTAAAAGTTTCAATAAAATTTTCCATTCCTCAAGATGTTGTTCAGCAACATCCTAGCAACAATCTAGATTGTTTACAGTCCATTAAAATTATAAAAATTGAAAAGAATTTAAATTAAACTTTTTTTTGTGACAATTTTAATCTTCTGCTGGTTTCCGGCTGTGGTTACAAATATTTAAAAGCGTTTAAAATATTTAATAAAATTTTCTATTCTTTAGGATGTTGTTTAGCAACATTCCAGCAACAATCTAGATTGTTTGCAGTCCACAAAAATCTTCTGCTGGTTTCCGGCTGTGGTTACTAATATTTAAAAGCCTTTAAAAATTTCAATAAAATTTTTAATTCTTCAGGATGTCGTTCAGCAACATCCCAGCAAGAATCTAGGTTTTTAACAGTCCATAGAGAATAATAAAATTGAATATTATTTTATTCAAACGTATCTTTTGACAATTATCATCTTCTGCTAAAGTTCGGCTGTGGTTACTACTATTTAAAAGCGCTTAAAAGTTACAATAAAATTTTTTATCCTTCAGGATGTTTTTCAGCAACATCTCAGCTACAACTTAGATTGTTAACAATCTATAAATAATAATAAAATTGAAAAGAATTTAATTTAAACGTCTGTTTATGACAATTTAATGTTCGGCCGTGGCTGCCACTACTTAAAAGGGCTTAAAATTTAGAATAAAATTTTTTATCCTTCAGAATGTTGTTCAGCAACATCCCAGCAACAATCTAGGTTGATACCAGTCCATTAAAATTATTAAAATTGAAAAGAATTTAGTTTAAACTCCTTTTTATGCACAATTGATGTAAAATTTTTCAGTGTTTTGACATTTTTGATGAATTAATTGAAACTTTTCGAATCTTGTGGAAAATTTGCAAGAGACAATGACAGGGTTATCTAATTAGACAACAGTCGTAATACCTTGAATAAATTTTGCCAAAGACAAAAGTGTGACCTTTCCTTAAAATTATTCTTTGATTGAGATAAAATTGTATATATACAATGTTACTCAATACACCGTATATACACCATAACACCTACGCGTGAATACACATCACATTTTCTATTTATTATACACTGTGCCGATGAATAATTTCGTATATTTTATTCAACTTATTGGACTCTCACGAAATTGACGCCTCTAAACATGTGAATTCCATATAATCTAAATTAAAATCAGATACAATGAATACAATTTCTCTCTCTTCAGAATTGTTAGATCTAGTCTTGTCTTTTCCCGCATTCCTAAGTATAAAAAAAGAATTTTTTTTCCATGTAATGTAGTAATGGAAATTTGTTATGGGAAGTTATCTGGAAGCTGTGTGTGGATACAGTGTATTTAATTAAGATGAAAAAGAAGAGCAGTATATGGGAAACTAATTGGTGCATATATTTGCCAATGGATGCAAATAGAATACAGAATAGAATACAAAATAGAATAGAGTACAGAAAATAGAGAGAGAGATGCGGTAAATAACTGAGAGATTTTTTTTTCTTTAGAAGGCACCCACGTGGTGGAATATTGTGGGAAGCGCGACAGGTGAGAGGTGGAAAGCAAAAGAAAGGTAAGATTCCCCCCATCCCTTTCCCATTAAGTGCGAAGATGTTATACATGCTGGAAGAAGAAGAAGAGTCGAAGAGATTCAAGACTCGCAGTGCATCGTTTGCTTCTTAGTGGGCGGATGATAGTCTCGAAAAGCCTGATGTAATGTTACAACATGTGGTTTGCCCTGCGCGCATCGTGTAAGTGTTTTAATTCGTAGTACTTTTTTTTGTTTGTGAATCAAGTGTATTAAAAAAAAAAATAAAATACAAAACTTCATCAGATAGGTTCCTCAAATTTTTTTTTAAATTATATTCAATGAAAAAAAATTATTTACTAAAAAAATCTATCAAAAAGTGTTAAATGTAATTATTACATAGAGGTGAGTACTCACCATAAAAAATAAACAAAATTAAATTTTTAAATTAAGTTATATTTTTTACGTTTAGTTTTTTAAATAATTTCAACCCCAATAATTATTAGGAAAAAAAATTAAGTGAATAATAATTTATTTCTGTGAATAATTTTTTTATTACTAATTCACAATCATTAAATTATTAAATTTATTTTAATTATTTATTTTATTTAAATTATTAAATATTCAATTAACAATTAATTATTATTATCACTACTGACTACTTTTAATACTATTATTATTACTACTGACTACTATTACTACTATTATTCTTACTATTAACTATTATTTACTAATATTTTTCTTACTATTAACTGCTATTACTACTACCTATTATTTTTACTATTAACTGCTATAATCACTACTATTACTCTTGCTATTAACTGCTATTACTACTATTATTTTTAATATTAACTGCTCTTATTACTACTATTATTCTTACTATTAACTATTTTTTACTAATATTTTTCTTACTATTAACTACTGTTACTATTAATTTTACTATTATTCATTTTTTACTATTTTTTTTTATTAATTTCCACTATTTCTACTATTATTAATATAATTACTACAATTACTCATTATCCAATAAAATTAATTTAATTATTTTTGGCTCATAATTATTTTTTGCACATAATGAATTGTTGCTTTTATTTTCAAATAAATAAATAATATATATAAACAAATTTTCGAAAAATTGCAAATTAATAATTGTCACGATAATAATAATAATAACAGTTATTTATGTTTATAATTTAAAATTGTCGCTGCTCCTGATTTAAAATAAATAAATGAAAAAATAATAAAAAAGAAAATAAATAAATTTACTTTTTATAATAAAAAATAAGTACATTTTGTGATAATAATATAGTGATAATAATTTTGTAAATTAATAATTGTAACGATAATAACAATTACAGTTCTTAACGTCTATAATTTGAAATAGTCTTTGCTCCTAATTTAAAAAAAAAATTAAAAATATATAAACAATTTTCTGATAATTAAATAGTGATAATAATTTTGTAAATTAATAATTGTAACGATAATAACAATTACAGTTCTTAACGACTATAATTTAAAATAGTATTTGCTCTTAATTTCCAAAAAAATAAATAAATAAATTAAAAATATATAAACAATTTTTTAATAATTAAATAGTGATAATAATTTTGTAAATTAATAATTGTAACGATAATAACAATTACAGTTCTTAACGTCTATAATTTAAAATAGTCTTTGCTTCTAATTTAAAAAAAAAACAAATTAAAAATATATAAACAATTTTCTGATAATTAAATAGTGATAATAATTTTGTAAATTAATAATTGAAAATTGACAATTGTAAATTAATAATTGTAAATTAATAATTATTGTTAATATGTTTATAAATTTAAATTGACATTCATTCTACTTTCAATATTAAATTGATGAATTACTAATTTAATTAATAATTAAATGAAATTATAAAATTGAAGTTAATTAAAGTTAAATTAAATTGAAAAATTAAAAGTCCCAGATCTTGACAATTTTATTATTAAATATTTTCCAATAAAAAGTCTTAAAAATTCGTTTAATAATTATTAGCATACAAATAAAATCAGGTCAATGCAAAATGTTGACAATGAAAAATTTTTATATCAGAAAATAATTGGCAAAAATGTAAACTATGGTAATTAACAGGGACATGAGATATTTCCAGTGCAAATTAAAACAGGAAGAAAAGTGAATGTGTTTATGTGTGTGTATTTTTTTTTGTTTTTTGCTTATTTATTCCAGTGTTTGAGAAATTGATAATGGTAATTATTTGCGGAATATCTGATTACAGATCGCAATAGTGTAATTGAATTGAATTCTAATATGTATACCAATCGTGTACAGTGACATTTCCTCCATTCGTTAACAATTGATCTAGTTCACTTTTTGAATATTCATACAACACTGATGAATTTTTACAGATTGCGCAAATAATAAAATCAAAAATATTTACCAGAGAAAGTTTTGCAAAAACTTTAAAAAAAAAATAAAGCTAAGAAAAATATTAGCAATTACCTAACATTAATTAACATAGTTGTTAATATTTTTCTCAGCTTTATTTATTTAATAACTAAACAAATATTTATTAAAAAAAAATATTTTCTAAAATAAATTAATAATAATTTCTTAAATAAATTAATATTATTATTTGATTAAGTATTTATTTAATTACTCTTTTGTGCAGTTTAATTCTGTCTATGAGTTCAATTTTGAAACACAGAACTTTTTTTAAACTAAAAAATCCAAATTAAAAAATTTTTTTTTCATATTAAAAATAAACTGTACCATTTTTACAGTGACATTTACTGTTCATAAAATTTTTTTTTAGTTAGAAAAACATTTTAATGGTGATACATTAATTTTTATTAGTAGCAACATTATTTTCAAAATGGTACCTAATTGACTATTTTTGTTGTTTAAGTTAAAATCTTTGTGAGAGTTAAAATCTTTTTTTCCCTCCATTAGTTTAAGTTGAAAAATTGTTGGCGCAGGAGAGAATCTTCATTGTTATACACTCGCATTCGATTGCTATAAAGAGAAACAAAGTGAACGTATTAAGTACTTCCTTCATAGAGGTTGAATATAAGTTTATAATACAGTTTAGAGAATGGCACGTGAAATTGAGCGTGGCTGAACTTTTCAATGCTCTAGACGATTAAGTTTTGTGATTTGCCAGTAACAAGCGTTCGTTATACTGTCAGCAATCAATCTCAAAATGAAGGAAGACTTCATTATTAAGAGTGCGATTATTGCCCTATTATTATACATGTTTCTTAAAGTACTGAATATTTATCTGCCGTTCATTATCATTATTATCATTATTAGACTACTAATAGTGGGAAAATGAGAACTTTGCAAATTTAATTTACTCATTGTCAGTGATGATTAATTTTAGTCTTATGTCGAATTTTTTTTTACGTTAACTAAATTAATAACAATAATAATTTTAAAAGTTTTTGCTAAAAGATATTACTATACCTTTTTTAAATAAAATTATCAATTTTAAAAATAATAGAATTTAAAAATTTTCTAATTTAAATTTTTGTTGAAAACAATAAAAAAATTCGATTTTGGAGAAATTACAAATAATTGCAGAAATTTAATTATTTTCAAGAAAAATAAAATTCTTCTTATAAAATTCAACTATGTTCAAAATTTGAAGAAAATTCTCGTAAAAATCCCAATTATCTTTATAAATAACAAAATTCTTCTCCAAAGTTCAATTATTTTCATAAATGTCAAAAAAATTCGTGTCCTAATTTCAATTATTTTCAAAAAATTTGCTAATTTCAATTATTTTCAATATCTAAGATTTTAATAAAATTTACCAAAACGAATTAAATTATTTAAAAAAATTGTATACAAACATTTAATTATTTTCATAAATAATAAAATTTTTAAGGAATTCAATTATTATTTTCATAAAAAATAATTTAAAATTCTAGAAAATAATAATTTTGTTAAGAAAATTGTGATTCATAAACAAAAATAATTTCTTAACCACAGTTGTTTAACAATTTTATAATTTTGTCTAGAACTGAAGAACAAAAATCTGCATAATTTTAATTTGACAAAACATAATATTTAACAAAATTTTAGTCTTTTAATGAAAAGAAATGGAAAAAATTCTGATGATTTCTATTTGTCATTACAATTTTGAATTAATTATAAATATTATTTTGCTTAATAGTAATTTAATAAAATTTTTATTCCTTATCATTTTTAATTTAATGTCACTAAATACGTGATTCAAAGAATATTCCACAAATCAATGAAAATCTATTATTAATTTTTGCAATTAAAAATAAATTATACCAAATATCTATTTTCAAAATTTAAATTGACAAAAATTCCATTCCATATTTATTATTTTCCTGACTTTTTATCAAAAATATTTATTTTCTTCTTATCCTGCTAATAAATTATTAAATTCCTGCGACGAATTTTATTATTCATGAAAGAATTTAAATAATGTTTATACCTAAAAATAATTTCATTCTTGCGAAGAATTTTATAAAATTTTTTAAACAATTCATTTCTTTTGACTAATTTTATACAAATTCTAATTTAAAGAATTAAATTCCTGAGAAATTTTTATTATTTATGAAAAGAATTAAATTCTTACAAAGATTTTTACAAAAAATTTTTAAAATAGGTATGTACTTGAATTCTGTTTGGAAATTTTATGAAAATAGTAGACATTGAAAATCATTAAATTGTAAAAAGTTTTTAAAAATAATTAAATTTTACAAAGAATTCTATTAAAATTTTTGACAGTAATTGAATATCTGTGTGGTCTTTTTATTACAGTTTTTTTTTAAATAATTGAATTCCTAAAAAGAATTTTATTATTTATGAAAATAATTGAATTTTTGCCAAAGATTTTGTTCGAATTTTTTATAATAATGGAATTTCCAAGACGAAATTTATTACTTTTAAAAATAATTGAATTATTGTAATGAATATTGTTATTTATGAAAATAATTGAATTTTGCAAAAAAATTTAGTCTAATTTTCAAAAATAATTGAATTCCTGAGAAGAATTTTATTATTTTTGAAAATAATTAAATTATTGCGGAAAAGTTTATTAAAAATGTTTAAAAAGAATTAAATTTCTGTGAAAAATGTTGTTATTTTTGAAAGTATCTAATTGAAATTATCTTCATAAGAATTTTATGCAAATTATTTTAAATAATTAATTTTCTCGAAATATAATAAATATTAAAATTTTATTACTTTAAATAATTGAATTCTCGTAGTAAACTTTATACAAATAAATAATAATAATTATTTTCACAAGAAAATAACTGAATTTTTTAATTAATTATTTTTAAATGGTATTAAAAATAATTGAAATTCTTCGATGAGTTTTATTATTTATGAAAATAATAAAATTCATGCTTAGAATTTTATCAAAAATTTTAAAAAAATTTAATTTTCATGAAAAATGTTATTATTGGTGAAAGTAATTAAATTATTGTGAAAAATAAATTGTATTAAATTTTGTTAAATAATTTATTTTTCGAAATTTTTTTTTAAATGCTATTTTAAATTATTATAGTATTTACTAAATTATTATATTAATATTAATAATTAATATACCCTGTAAAAAAATGATTCAATTTAAATAAAAATTATTTTACAAATGTAAAAATTTTCTTACATTTTGTTAATTTTTTTTCCATGAAAAATTGATAAATAAGAAACAATAATTCAAAAATACAAAAATTTTTCTACAAAAAACAAAAATTTATGGAAATTAATCCAAAGGGACATGAATAAATTCATAAGATCAGATATTCGCCAAATTTTATAAATGTAAATATTTGTTTTTTTTTGTTAAATTTATGAAAAGGAAAAAAAATAACACAAAAAAACAAAAAATTGGTATAAAACGAGGTATTTATGAAAAGAAAAATTTGTAGAGAAATTAATCAAAAGGGAGATGAATAAATTCATAAGATAGAGTTACAGAGTCAATCTGACAATTTTTGAAGTGTAAATAATTTAAAGGAACTGGAAATGATACCTGGTTTGTAAGATATGATCGGTTTGATAAAGTATTTGCGGGTAACAGAAGGAAACTAATGAAGGCCATTACGACAAGGAAAATTAATATTCCCGCTTACCATTTATTTATATAAAAAAGCGTCAACTTTCTTGTTAAACTATCTTCACACAAAAGTTGTGTATTTTTATTGCATTCGCGCGATTTTGCGGTATTAAACTATTTGAAGACCGATTATCATTATTACTTTCGCACCAGCGAAAGTGAAAATTGCGAAAGTCTACTTATTTTGTGTCGATTTTTTTTATTATTCACAAATTCAGATATGACATTTTATTTTTTATTCTTTTGCAAAATTATTTGCCCTCTTGGCAATAAAATTTAATTTTTACAATTTAAAAATGATACAAATGGACGAAAATAATTTAATTATTAAAATTTCACGAATTTTTATTTCTTTTTCTGAAGTTACAATTTTTAATTTATTCTTCTTATAATAAGTATGGAAATTATTATAAATAAAATAATGAAATGGTAAATAATAATTTAGCAAAGTTTTGTATCAATTTTTTTTTGTTAGTTATAATTTTTATTTTATTCCTTTGATAATAATTAGTATAATTATTATGACTAGAATGGCAATTGTTGTGAAAAAACAATTTTAACAATAAATTATTTGCTTTTTCTTGAAACAATTTTTTCTAATTCTTTTGTAATAAAAAGACCTAAATACGTCAAATAATAAATTATAATTTTTTTTAATTAGAAAAAAATAATGCAATGAATAAAATTCCACAAATATTTTCCTTCCCTTTTTAAATTCATAGCAGAGAATAAATTAAACAATTGAATTTTTCGAATTGCAGATTTAGTAGCAGTGGTTTTATGCAATATTCACAATAGTTTAGAAGATGAAGATACCAAGAGGAGTTTCCTTGCTCGAAGAGCCATTGATGGGAGCAGAGGAAGGTACGAAAATGAATAAGAAATTAATTAATCTTAATTGGCTCGAATTTTTATTCGAAAAAAAAAATTTAAAAAAAAGAAAAATTAAGTATACAATGAGAAATCTCGAATATATGATTTAAAGGAAATACTATGATGCTAAGGATGATGGTTTCTTCGAGGATTATGGTTTCGACAGAGGTCATTATAATGCTCGAGATAGATCCGGTGAGTTAATACAGTTTATTCATTATTACACCAAAGAAAATTTATTTTTTTTCTTCACTCTCTGAAGCAAGAGAAAATCTTTTGTAATATTCGATGGAGAAAAAAAGAAATACTAATAAACCTCGCGATATAAATAAAACCACCCACAAAATAAGATGGGAAATAGAAAAAAATTTAAATTGTTATATAAAAATTCGTAAAATAAAACTAAAAAATAATATCCTAAAAAAAGTGAATAAAAAATAGAATAAAAATGAAAAATAATTAAGAATTAATAAAATAAAAAAATTATTCAGAACTATTTAAACAAAACATTTAACTCAAAATTATTTTAACAAAAAATAATTCTAAATTAATAAAATAAAAAAATGATTCAAAATTATCGACAGAAAAAATAATTATAAGATTTATTCGAATAAAAAGAAGAATTTTAAATTTAAAAAAATATTTAAAATACTGAAATAACAAATAAATAAAAAATATCCAAATTAAAAATAATTGAGAACTATTGGAATAACAAATTAAAAAATATTGAAATAACAAATGAATAAAAATTATTGAAATAAATAATAATTCTAAATTGTAAAAAAAATAATAACTAAGAATTTTTTTATTCATATAAAAAATAATTAAAAATTATTCTAATAAAAAATAATTTAAAAATATTGAAAAAAAAACAAATAAAGAATTATGAAAATAAAAGATAATTCAAAAATCATGAAAGGAAAAAATAATTAAGAATTCTTCGAATGAACAATAATTAAGAAATTATTCAAATGAAGAATAAATAAGAGTTATTCAAATGAAAAATGATTAGGAATTCAAATAAAAAATAATGAAGAATTGTTCGAATAAAAAATAATTGAAAAATATTAAAAGAAGAAAATAAATATTAAATAAAAATTATGAAAATAAGAAATAAATTTAAAAATTATAAAAATTGAGTGCCAAATATTCGATAAACAAAAATATGCGAAATGAACTTCTCTTCATGACATAATGCACTTGCATTGAATGCAATTATAACGAGAAATGAGGTTGAGTACAAGGTCAACTGCAAAATTTATTACCTTTAGTGCGTGACGCACAAAGATTCATAGCGGATTTTGCATTTTGAAATTTTTGTACCGTTAAAAAGAAAACAGGATTTTTCATTTTTTCCACATTTTACTTTCTTGTACAATTTAATTAAAAAATATTAATTTACTCAATTATATCGTTAACAAAAATAATTCTAAATAAGTTATAGTTTCAACTGCTATTAACTCCTCTATTTTATTATTAAGAGACAATTTTTATTAACAATTTTAAGGAGTTAAAATTAAATTAATTATTATTAATTATTATTAATTATTATTAATTAAATTAATTAATTAATTAAAATTAAAAATTATTTACCATTAAACAGATGAATTTAATTTAATTAATTTCTAACTAAAATCGTAAATTTTCACCTATTCTCACAATACAAAATTTTGAAACTTTATGATAATGAAGATTTTTTTTATTACTGAACGTAATTTTTTATTTTTTCTCATTTCTTTAATAAATAAATCAGTAAGAAAATAAATTCTACAGAATAAGTGCAAAATAGTTTATTTCTTTAACTAAGTATTGTTCTTTAATTTATTTAAATAGAAAATGATGTAACAATTTTTTATCATTGTTTGCAAATTGCACATTATCTGCAATCGTTATAATCAGAATTGCCAAATTTTCCTTTGTTTAGAATTTTACAAATGGAAATCGATCAATATTAATTTTTTTGCGCTATAAAAAGAAATTATTGCTTTTATTATGGGAAATTCTTTTCTACTTTTAGTTTCTACGTAGTAAATAGTAAAAAAAAAAATTACCGAAAATTGTAATAGAAGATAAAAAGCCAAATAAAAATACTAAATTGTAAAAATAATAGAAAATAGTAAAGGAAAATACTAAATATTATAAATAATAGAAAATAGTAAATAAAAATAATAGATAGTAAAAATAAAAAACTTTAAAAAAAGTAAAAATCGAAATTAAAAATATTAAATAGTAAAAAAATAAAATAAAAAAGTAAACAGTAAAATTAATTAATAAAAATAGAAAATAGTCAACAGTAAAATTAGTAAATAAAAATAGCAAATAGTAAAAATGTAAAAGATTAAAAATACTAAACATTAAAAATTGTAAATAGTAAAATGTAAAAATCGTAAATAAAAATACTAAATAGTAAATAGTAAAATTAGTTAATAAAAATAATAGATAGTAAAAATAGAAAATAGTAAACAGTAAAATTAGTAAATAAAAATAGCAAATAGTAAAAATGTAAAAGATTAAAAATACTAAACATTAAAAATTGTAAATAGTAAAATGTAAAAATCGTAAATAAAAATACTAAATAGTAAAAAGTAAAATTAGTTAATAAAAATAATAGATAGTAAAAATACTGCAATGAAAATCGTTAATAAAAATAGTAAATAGTAAAAATAGTATGTAGAAAAAATACTAGATAGTAAAAATTGCTTTACTCCACTTTTCAGTTCAAAATAAAAAAAATACGTTTTCCATTTGTTAAAAATTTTTTGTAAAAATTGTTGAAAATTTTGGTTATAATTTTTTTGTTTTTTGAAAAAATTTCTCTTTTTCAGCCTCGTCGGACATTAGAAGTAGCGTCCCAGGCGAGCCGGGAGTAGATTATCCAGCATATGAGAGACTACCTCAGACAAGTTTTACTTGTGAAGGACGTGACCGAGGTAAGTCAATCATTACTCTGACCTTCTCCTAAACATTTCTCTACTCCTATAAAAGTCTTATTCAATTCGGTATCGAATTCGACTTATAATTCACTGTCACTTATTTCACAAACTGAAAAATGAAACGAGAATATAAAAAAGAATATTGAAAAAATAAGAAATATAAAAGAATTAATATATAAACGAAGAAATAAAAAAGGAATTGAATGAAGTAATAAAAAAAGAATCGAAAAAAGAAATAAAAAAGAATTTAAAAAATAAATAAAAAATGAATTTAAAAAATAAATAAAGAATTGAAGAAAGAATTGAAAAAATAAGTCAAGAATTGAAGAAAGAAATAGAAACAAAAGATTGAAAAAAAATTAAAGAAAAGATAAAAGAAGTAAAAAATGAAAGGAGAAATAAAAAAAATGGAAAAAGAAAAAATGAAAAAGAAATAAAAACAAATAAATGAAACAAGAAATAAAAATACATAAGTGAAAAAAAATTTCAAATGAAATCATAAGACATCAAAAAAAGCAATCACTGTAGACTATTATTTGTCCTAAAGGTTACATTACATTTTTCTTATTCTCGATTTAAAATAAAAAAAAAAAAAATCGCCTTCCTACTGCACAGAGAAAAAAGTTAATCATAATCCCACGAAATAATATAAAACTTACATAATTCCTCGCAATTTATATCGTTATAAACTTATCCAATTGCTTGGAAATAGATTCTTTATGGTAAAAAAGTAAAAAATAGAGAAATAAAAAAACAAATACAGTACTAAAAATCTGATAAAGAAAAAATGAAATAAAGAAAACATTTTTTCCTATCAATTCTGTGATTATTCATAATATTAAACTTATGTATTTTATGCAACATATTTAATTTAATCCACACCCTGTTAGAACATCATAAAAATAGTCGTTCTTACTCATTAGTAATTTACTTATTCGGAAAAAAATATAATGGTCACTTAAGTATTGCGACAAGCGTTTTAATTTTTCCAAACACTATTTTGTAACGATCCTGATCAATTTTCGTCGTCTCTTTCTTGAAAAAATCAGATATAGGAAAGCTATTAAAAATGTTTATGACGAAATTAACGAGAGATAATAATAATTTTGCGGATAAAGAACTGAAAGATAATAATTATGCTGATAGAGAGCCAGAAGATAATAATTTTGTTTATAAAAAAGTAGGAGATACTAATATTGCAGATAGAGAAGGAGGAGATAAAAATTTTGCAGATAGAGAATCAGGAGATAATAATTTTGCAGATAGAGAATCAGGAGATAATAATTTGGCAGATAGAGAACCAACGATTACTAATTTTGCATATATAAAGAAACAGTAGATATTAATTTTGAACCAACTGATAATAATTTGGCAGACAGGAAACCAAAAAATATTAATTTTGCATATGAAGAACGAGCAGATACTAATTTTTTAGATAGAGAACAAGAAGATTATAATTTTGCAGATAGAAAACCAGCAAATAATAATTTTGCCTATAAAGAATCAGCAGATACTAATTTTTTCAGATGGAGAAGCAACAGATAAAAATTTTACAAAAAAATAACCAACAGATAAAAAAAAGAGGAAAAAAATTAACAAAAATTAATAATGTTGCATATAAAGAACCAACAGATGCTAATTTTTTTTACTTAAAAAACCAACAAATAGTAATTTTGCAGATAGAGAATAAGCAGAAGCTAGTGAATAAATTTTTTCTTTCACGAAATCAGAACGGACGCATTTGTCAAGACAAAATAGATACTTATGCGCGCTGACGATAAAAAAAAGCAGTTGAATGGGTTCAAAGGTATATTAAAAATTTTATATATTTTAGTCACCTTTTGGCATCGAGGTCAAGGATGTAACAAAACAACTTTCCTGACACGAAGGATGGAATCTGCTGTTAGCATTTTCTTTATACACTTTCGCAATAGGTCAGAGCGTTAGCAGAAGCGCTTTGATTCCAACCTTCTGTTTCTGTTATAAAAGAGAGCCCCGTAAAAAGCATTGCCTTGTTTTATGTCTTCCAATTCCAATCCTTAGGCGACCAATAGACTCTTTTATTTTTATTTATTTATTCTTTTTTTTCTTCAAACTGTCGCCTTAAAGTCAAGGTGACAGTGCCTATTAAGATATATACAAAAGATACCTTTTAAGTTCATTTTTAAAAAGGGCGATATGCCATTTGACATATAGGTTACTTCATATCGCAATATAAATTATAAAATAAAGGCGCAGTAAAGTCTGAGATACGGAAAACTTTTTTTTGCAAATTCTATCTGATTTTTAATTTTTTTTAATTAGTTCTTTTCTACTAAACAAACAAAATCGACTCTCTAAATCTGAATTAGTAGAAAGTTACTAATGAAATGACGAAAAGTCTTCCACCAAATGATTTAGTAATAATTTTACTAAGAAATAGTGAAATTTTACTAATTATTAGTAGATTTTACTAATTGCTTAGTAGAATTCTACTAACAATTAGTAGAACTGTTTTATTAATAGTCGATAAAACAGTTTCACTAATTCATTTAGTAAAAAAGTGACTTTCAATTAGTGAAATTCTACTAAAACATTAGTAAAATATTACTAAAAATTAGTAATATTCTACTAATTGAAAAGGGGAAAAGTCTTCCATGAAAACTACTAAAAATTAGTAAAATTTTACTATTTCTTTGTAGAATTCTACTAATTCAGATTTAGAGAGGAAAATTTTAATTAATTTATTTATTTATTCAACAAACACTCGCTTTTATTTCTCTATTTAATTATTTACTTAAAATTAATAAAAAAATTAGCAACTAGCTGACTTCTCACTCACTCTCTTAATAAATAAAATTAGCAATTTTAAAAATAATAGAACGTTAAAATTTTTAATTCAATTTTTTTTTATAAAAATAAAACGTGAATTGGAATATAGATTTAATATTATTATAATTATTTTTGGAAAATTTCAATCATTCGAAATTCTTCTAAAATTAGTTAAATTTGTCAAAATTAAATTATTATCAAAACTTTTAATAAAATTCTTGTCAAAAATTCACTTATTTCTAAAAATTTTCCTCATTTTAGTGATTTTCAATATCTACTATTTTAATAAAATAAAATTACCCAAAAGAATTCAATTATTTAAAAACAATTTTAATAAAATTCTAAGCAAACATTTAAATATTTTCATAAATAATAAAAGTTGCAAAGAAACTCAAATATTTGTTAATTTTTTATAATTTTTTTCAGAAATAATAAAACTTATCGCAGGATTTCAATTATTTTTTTAATACAATTTTACAGGAATTATTCGAAAAATGTAATTATTCTTAAAAATTTAATTTCAATTCCTCGAAGAAATCAATTATTTTAAAAAATGTTTTTTTAAATTCTTTAGAAGAATTCAATTATTTACAAAAATATTAAAATTTTTCACAGGAATTTAATTATTTTCAAATATTTAAATAGAATTGTTCGAAAGACATCAATTATTTTAAATACAAAATTAATTAAACTTTTTTAAATAATTTAATTATTCTTTTAGATTTTAATAAAATTTTTCCCAAGAATTTAATTATTTATATAAATAATTCTTTGAAAGAATTCAATTATTAAAGATAAATAACAAAATTATTCCCAAAAATTCAATTATTTTATTATTTAAAAAATTTGTTGTAAAAATCTTCATAAGAATTCAATTTTTTTTATGAATAATAAAAATTTCTCAGAAATTCAAATATTTAAATTAGAATTTGCATAAAATTAGTCTAAAGAAATCAATTATTTAAAATTTAAATAATTGAATTCTCGTAGAATTTTCTAATAAAAATTTAATTGAAAATGAATTTTAGTTTAAATTTTAAATAATAATAGAATATGAAAATAATTTTTTAAAAGTTACAGTAAAAATATTCTTATAATATAAAATATTAATTTTAACACTCGGAGTAATCGTTTTCTTCATGTTTTATAACAATACAATTTTTAAAGTTGATTAATTTCAAAAAAGTTTGAATTTAAATGTTTTGAAGAATTTTAATTCCTACGGAAAAATAATAATAATTAAATATTTAAAATATTTTCCCTTTCATTTTCAATTAAATTTTCTAATTGACAAATATAATTTATAAACATAAATTGAAATTAAGAAATAGAATTCGCTGTGTTTCTTTATTTAATTATTTATTTAATATTTAATTATTTACTTATTCTTTTTATTTTAAAAAAATTTTCAAAAAAATAGTTAATTATATTTATATTTTATAATATAAAAATAGTGTAATTTTAATTAATGTAAATTTATACTATAAACATACTGTAACCATATAATCCGTGTTTATAAATAAATAAATAAATAAATTAGCACGTAATTACAGAAATAATAATTGCAAAATTGTTTTTCGTAGCAAACAAATGAAAAAAATATGCGAAATCATTCATTATAGAAACTCAAAATGAAAGAATAATTCAAAGATTGATAAAATTAATTGTATATTGACAAATGGAAATCTTCGATTATGCAATAATTACTTAATTATAATTAATTACGGAAGAAGTTGATAAATACACGTCGGATGACATTGAAAATTTATTCAAAAGATTTTTATCAGGTTTTATTTCGAAAAATTTACAATAATTACAATAAATTGCTAATAAAAGACAAATAATCAATATTTTGAGTTTGAAATTTTGCAAAATGCAACAAGTGTTACGTAAATTAGAAATTTTTTCATCTGCAAATAAAGAACATACCTTACAAAAAAGTAAATTTAAATTAATTGAAGTTTATATTTAATTAAAAATTGAATTAATTAAATTTTACTTTTCAATTAAAAGTTGAATTAATTAAAGTTTATTTTAAATTCAAAATTAAATTAATCAAATCAAACAGAGTAAATCAATTTTTACGCTTTAAATTAAAAATTAAATTTATTAATTTTTACTTTAAATTAAAAACGCAGTTAATCAATTTTTACTTCTAATTTAAGTTATATCAATTGAATGTTATTTTAATTACAAAATTAGGTTAATTACACTGGGTTACAAAAAAATGGTCATATCGTGTTTATTTAAAGTTTCCTGTGATTATTGAAAGTTTAGGTGTCACTGAATAAGAATATACCAGTAAAACATTTTTTCATTCGGTCATTCCCTTAAAAAAACGAGTTTAAAGTGTCAAAAACCGTATTTTTAGCACTTTTTGAGGCAGCGTAACAAGAAAACGCAACATGATAAAAATCTCTACAAGAGCTTAAATAAAAGCTTAAACCTTCAACTTTGAGGCTCAGAACTGAAAAGTACTTAAATAATCAATAAAAACCTCCTTAATCAAGCAGTCGCTACCTGAAATTGTCAAAAAAGCTAGAACAGGAAGCAATTGGTAAAAATCGATTTCCTTAAGCGGATTCGGTTGCAACTTGTTACTTGAAGTTTTTTGAGGTTTCTAATGACGAATTGGAACTTAGATTTAAAAAATTTCAAAATGGCGGACTGAAAATAATGAATTCACTCAATTTTTCAAAATTTGCGTTGATAATTTTAAAAAATTGAGTCCGCCACTTTGAAATTTTTTAAATCTAAGTTCCAATTCGTCATTAGAAACCTCAAAAAACCTAAAATAACAATTTGCAACCGAATCCGGTTAGGGAAATCGATTTTTACCAAGTGCTACCTAACCCAGCTTTTTTGATAATTTCAGATAGTGACTGCAGGTTTTCAGTGCTTCTTTAAGTACTTTTCAGTTCTGAGCCTTAAAGTTGAAGGTTTAAGCTTTTATTTAAGCTTTTGTAGAGATTTTTATCATGTTGCATTTTCTTGTTACGCTGCCTCAAAAAGTGCTAAAAATACGGTTTTTTGAGACTTTAAACTCGTTTTTTAAGGGAATGACCGAATGAAAAAAAGTTTTTCTGGTATATTCTTATTCTGTGACACCTAAACTTTCAATAAACACAGTAAATTTTAAATAAACACGACATGACCATTTTTTTGTAACCCAGTGTTAATTAATGGAAATAATAATAATAATAATAATAATAATAATAATAATAATAATAATAATAATAATAATAATAATAATAATAATAATAATAATAATGAAAATAATTATAATAAAATTATAACAAAATAAAAAAGGTAATAAAAAACGCCAAAAAGGTAACATTAACATAACTCGAGAGCGGTACAGAGAGAAAAAATTCAATCAAAAATTTAAAAAGATTTAAAGTTGATTACAAAAGTCATTGAAAGATTCTCACGCGCTTTACACACAAGAGGTGATAATGAGCTTCGCCGACACTTGACACTGAGTAATAAAGTTGTTGCATTTCTATCATTCTCACATTACATAAGAGAGTTAAATATTGCGGTTCGTTTAAATAAGATTCTTTACATTATTTTGTAAGACTCTTTTCTTTTACACTTTTACTGCTTGAAAACAAAATTCACCAAATGCGAGAATAAAATAAACTCTCTATTATCAATCATATATGTATAAACATTTTTAATGAAACCAAAGAATATAATATCAAACGATGAGAAAATATCATCATTAGAACGAATCGGAAAACAAGTTTTGTGATCACGCCAACGACCTATAGGAACTGACATAACTTTTAACATTCACCTTCCCTTTATTTATCCTTTAGGTAATTCTTATTCTTTCAATTTAACTTCAAAAAAAAGAATAATTTTATATATTACGATTGTTATCCATTGCTACTTTATATGAAAAATACACACTGTCAAAGGCTCATAAATTATCGTTTTAATATTATATGGAAAAGGGCAGTAAAGAATTAATGAGGAAGGGGATTTTTTTTTTTATAAAAATTTGAAATGCATGTATGAAAAACCTTTTAAACAATTTAAAGGCTGGGAGAGAGACGGGAAAAATATGTATTCACGAAGGGCACGTCATTTGAATCATATAAAAAATATCTTGAAAGGATAATATTATAATAGTCAAGAGCAACTTTTACAGTTTGTGTTTAATTTATAATAATAGTTTATTAACACTTAACTTGTCAATTTTGTAAGCGAAGATTATAAAATTGCTCTTCGAATTATCGGTCTTTCATGTAATCAATTTGTTTATTTACTTTCAATTATTTATTTATTTTAATTTTATTTTAATTTATTTTTATTACTTAAATTTATTTCTATTATTTACTTTTATTATTTATATTTATTGACTTGTATTAATTTTTATTTAATTTATTTATTTAGTATTTTTTATTTACCTAATTATTAATTATACTATTTATAATATAGTATTTTCATTTTAAATTATTTAAATTGAAAATTGTTAAATGTAAATTCTTTAAATAAATTGGAACATAATGTAAATTAAAATTTATTAAAAAGTATTTTTAATTGTTTTTAAATTGAAATTGTTCAAATATAAATAGTTTAAATAAATTATTTAAATTTAAGATTGTTAAAATATATTGTAATGAAATGTAATATAAATTAAATATTGTTAAAATGTTATATGTATTTTTAAAGTTTCTCGTGGAATAAAATGATGGTTTAATTTCTCCACTTGAGAACGCCAAGGTCACCACCAGATGTCAGTAAAAATTCCAGGAATTAACTGAAGTGCCATCTAGCGGTGACCTTGGCGTTCGCAGGTGAAGAGTAGCATCTCCATATTGAATCTCAAGATGTTCGTTAATATTCATAGTTCTAGAATTATTTAAAATCAAATTTAGAGAGTCTGACAATTAATGTAAACGAATTTCAATTTTTAATTTACTATCCTTTTCGATATTTTTATCCCCTTCAATCTTTTTAGAGCCTTAGAATTAATTTCTTTACTAAATAAATTAATATTTAAAATCTCCTCTTAAGAAGTAGTACCATTAGTGGTTTCTTTGAAGAAAATAAGTATAATTAGTAAATTATTTACAAAAATAGTATCTAAATAGTTTTGTATGAGTTGAAAAAAGTATCAATAGTCGCGTGAGTTTCAAAAGGAACAATCAAAAAAATAATTTTCAATTCAAGATATAAAAAATGTTTCATTCTAATTTACAGGTTACTATGCCGATGATGAGGCGGGTTGTCAATTGTTCCACGTCTGTGACGACATTCTTGTGTCCTCATTCCTATGTCCAGTTGGATCACTTTTCAGCCAAAAGCTCCAGACCTGCGACTGGTGGAACAAAGTCGATTGTTCAACAACAAGAAAATTCTACACAATCAATCGCAATCACTACGATCAGGACGATGGCGATGAAATGATACGAAAAGCCTACGTGATGATACACCTTCATCCAGACGAGGGACTCATCACTGAACCCGAGGAACGTGCCCGACAGACAAAAATTATTACCCACTATCCAAGTGTTGATACACCGGAAAATGATCTACCCACCAATTATGATGACCCATCTGAAAATTCAGAATCGTCCAATTCATTTGACGATTATTCTAATCAATTCAAGAGCAAATCAAATAATGATAATGATGATGATCATATTCTCTATTCACAGGAATATCAAACCCATTCACCAAAGATTTATCCAGATTCGCGACTATTGAACAGAAATTATAAAGTTAATAACAATAACAACTATAATAAAAATAATAATAACAAATATGATAAAAATATTGATAACTATGATAAAAATAATGATAACTATGATAAAAATAATAATAACAACTATAATAAATATAATATTAACAACAATTATAATAGTAATGATGATAAGAATAATAATCAGCAGAATGAGAATCATCCATCAGGGTTCAGGAATCGTCATCCAGAAAAGGCGAATTCCTATCGATTGAACGAATTTGTCAGCGAATTTCAACCAGTTTATGCACCAACTGTTCCAACTGTTACCACCACAAGTAGACGATTTTATTCCCCCACTGTGCCAATGAGTTACAGATCATCGACCCTTGCCTACGACAAATTCGATCAGAATTTGGACAGTTCGGTTCATCTCTACGAGCATGGGAAGAATTATCCTTCGACGACTCCGGCAAGTGTGTTTCGTTACAGTGCGAAAAATTCGACTCGTGGTTTTCTCAAATATCGAGGATCTTCTCCAGAAGCTAAACGAGAGGAAGAAGCTAAACGAGTCGAAGAAGTTAAACGAGTAGAAGAAGAAAATACCAGATTTCACTATTTCAGGAATGAAGAATACGATGGAAGGTTCGACGAGGAAGATAATTACGAAATTATGGAAGGTGGGGAAAGTATTGGACTGGTGAGATCATCATCCGAGCGATTGGAGGAGGAAACAACGACTCAATCATCGCTTAATGTTAGTGGAGCGACAAAAGTTGTTGAAAAAAATTCTTCGACGAAAACAAATCATTCGAAACAATCGAATGACGAATTTCGGGATTCAAAGGATGCTGCGAATAGGAGTAGAGCTGATGCTAGTGCATCTGATTCCAGTGCTGGGAATGTTCCATCAAATTTATCTGATGTTCCATCAAATCCATCTAATGTTCCGTTAAATCCATCTAATGATGATCTTGCTGGAAAAGTTGATTATTCAGAAGCGGCTGATCGTTCAGAAATTGTTGATCATGAAGGGACGGTTGATTATTCAGAAGCAGCTGATCATGAAGGAAAAGTTGATTATCCAGAGGCGGTTAATCATGAAGGAAAAGTTGATTATTCAGAAGCTGATCAAACAGAAAAAATTGATTATTCAGAAGCAGTTGATCTTGTAGGAAAAGTCGATTATCCAGAAAATGTTGATCATGCGGAAAAAGTTGATTATTCAGAAACAGTTGATCATTTAGAAACAGTTGATCATTCAGAAAAGGAAGAAAGAAAGAACATCCAAGAACACGAGAATCATTCAGAAGAGCAAGATTACTCAAAGAAGCAACCAGATTATTCAAAGGAGCATCAAGATTCTTCTAAAAATCATCAAGATTCTCCTAAAAATCATCAAAATTATTCAAATCATAAAGATTATTCGAAGGATCATCAAGATTATTCAAAGCAGCATCAAGAAACTTCCAAAAATCATCAAGATTACTCAAAGGAGGATCAAGAGGTGCATCAAGATTCTCCCAAAAATCATCAAAACTATTCAAATTCTCAAGATTATCCAAAGGAGCATCAAGGGGAACATCAAGATTCTCCCAAAAATCATCAAAATTACCCAAATCCTCAAGATTATCCAAAGGAAGATCAAGGGGACCATCAAGATCTTCCCAAAAATCATCAAAATTACCCAAATCCTCAAGATTATCAAAAGGAGGATCAAGGGGACCATCAAGATCTTCCCAAAAACCATAAAAACTACCCAAATTCTCAAGATTACTCAAATTCTCCAGATTATTCGAAGAAATATTCAGAGACTCAAAGAAATGATCCAAAGGATCCTAATTTCTTAAAGGAGAACCAAGATCAAGAAAGTTCATCAACTCTGTCACCAATTTCCGACCCGATTATTAATTCTGATGCTCCGCTTCAGGGTAGAATAATTCCCGAATTGTCTCCAGTGTTACAACCACCTCGCCTGCCGTTTCGATCATTCCGTTCGAAATCTGAACGAAAACTTTTTTCAGCGACGAGGAATCCTCCACCACTTCCCTATCAGCATCATTCAAACAGTCGTGAAACAAGCTCTACCGAAAATTCCCCCCAAGACAACTCTGGAAACACATCATCGGAAAATTATTTTAACACTCAATCAGAAAATTTACAATTATCGAAAAATTACGATAACGAAAAATTAGAAAATTCCGAAACGAAAATCCCAAATAAATCAGAAATTCAAGAAGAAAATTTAGGGGTCCATTCGTCATGGGATAATCAACAAAAAGGAGAAACTTTCGACTCAAAAATTTCGGACGAGGCACTAAAAGTAAATAACAAACAGATTTCGAGAAAGCAAAATAAAAATTCCGATTTTATCAGATCGGAAATTCAGGAACACTCTCCAGTCGATAGAAATGAAAATCAAATTTTGACTCATAGGACAATTTCCCTGGATCTTGAACCACCCAACGAAGATCCACTGATAAATTTTGATCCCAATCCCCAGTTTAGAAGTACTCTACAGTCTGACTTTACTCCAACTGAAATTGAAGACACAATCGAAGAGAGCAACACTCCTTATCAAGTCTCCCTGACAATAGACGAAAATCCAAACAATGAATCCGAAATCAATAACCCAGAAAACGAATCACCAATTCAACACAACAATAATAATTTTCATCAAAAATTACTTGGAGAAAATGAAAAAATTGAAGAAAATTTAGAAATACACAACAGAACGGAAAAGAGTGCCGAACTTGAAAATAGCGAACAAATAAGAATTCTTCAGTTAATGTCTGAATTGGCGAAAACAAATCGACTACCGAGACCATTTTCAACTCAAGTTCAAAATGAAAAAGTTCCCGATCCAACAAATTCGACAAATGTATCCTCATTTCTTCGCAAGGAACAAATTTTGGAACAATTAACCCGAAGTTTTGGTGAACCTCTTTACAAGAGTTTCAAAGATGAAACTGAACCGTTATTTGAATTACCGTACGTGAACAGATTCACTCAATTTCGAACTTTAAAGGCGCTAAATTTAGAGGAATCTTCTCGGAATTTGGAAAAATTTACAAATTTTGAAGGAAACGAAAAAGAAGAGAATAGAGAGAATAGAGCAAAAAATTCGGGAGAGGAAGAATTCGAAAGTAAAGTAGAAGAAGAAGAAGAAGGAGAAAAAGAAAAAAGTGTGGAAGATGCAATAAGAGAAGAAGAGATAAGAAGAGAAGAAGAACTAGTAAGAAGACAAGAAGAAGAAAAAAGAAGAGAAGAAGAACTAATAAGAAGACAAGAAGAAGAAAAAAGAAGAGCAGAAGAACTAATAAGAAGAGAAGAAGAGGAGATAAGAAGAGAAGAAGAGCTAATAAGAAGAGAACAAGAACTAATAAGAAGACAAGAAGAAGAAAAAAGAAGAGGACAAGTGAAAGAATTAAGAGGAGAAGAAGAGATAAGAAGAGAAGAGGAACTAAAAAGAAGACAAGTAGAGCTAATAAGAAGACAAGAAGAGCTAATAAGAAGGCAAGAAGAAGAAAAAAGAAGAGGACAAGTGAAAGAAATAAGAGGCGAAGAAGAGATAAGAAGAGAAGAAGAACTAATAAGAAGACAAGAAGAGCTATTAAGAAGACAAGAAGAGGAAAAAAGAAGAGGACAAGTGAAAGAAGTAAGAGGCGAAGAAGAGATAAGAAGAGAAGAGGAACTAATAAGAAGACAAGAAGAGCTATTAAGAAGACAAGAAGAAGAAAAAAGAAGAGGACAAGTGAAAGAATTAAGGGGAGAAGAGGAGATAAGAAGAGAAGAAGAACTAATAAGAAGACAAGAAGAAGAAAAAAGAAGAGGACAAGTGAAAGAATTAAGAGGAGAAGAAGAGATAAGAAGAGAAGAAGAAGAGATTAGAAGACAAGAAGAAGAAATAGTACGAGGAGGAACAATAGGACGAGAAGAAGAAGAAATAGAAGAACAAGAGGAAGAAGAAATAACAAGAAGACAAAAGCAAACAAGAAATCAACGAAAGGGAAAAGAAGAAATAAAAAATCAAGAAGAAGAAACAGAAGAAATAGAAGAAGAAGAAGAAAAAGAAGGAAAGCCAGATATTAAAAAAGAACATAATAGTAGAAAAATTGAGACAAAAGTGGTGGAAATGGAATTTCTTCCATCGTTGGGATTTTCCTTCGACACACACGAGGGAAGAGAGGAATATGCTCATGCTGTTCTTCAGGGTTACGTAACCGAGGGAGCTGTAGTTAAATCAAATGATAAATTTTCATCGAGAAAAATGACTTTCGACAGTACTGAGAGTACCAAAAATGTTTGAAAACAAAATTATTATGTACGTGATTTTGAGTGTGATTTTTGAAAGGAAAGTCTGTAATTTTTTTGTAGTTATTATTGAAAATAAAGATTTTTGTATCTAAAAATAAACTTTAACGATATTTAATAATTGATTCTTATTTTTATTCCTCTTCTTTTTTCTTTAATATTTTCTTTTTTAAGATTTTTTTAAAGAAAATTTAACTTTATCGTAATTTTCAAAATAAGATTATATATAACTTATTATCATAAGTTAAGGTTAATTGTTGGATTAATTGAATAATTAATTAAATACTTACTCTAATTAGAAAATATTAATTTTAATAATTTAAAGTAACCAAAAAGTATATTTTTTCGCACTGCAAGAAAAATTTATTTGAATCAAATAATCAGTTAATTAACAATTATCAAATTCTTCTTTAATAATTATTTTCTCAATAAAAAAATGTATTAATGTAATATTTTAATTATCTATATCCAAAAAATATTAATTAGGTTTTTAAATTCAAAGTTAATTAAATTAACTATTAAAGAAACGCACTAAAAAAATGTATTTGATTGAAATAACCGATTAATTGTCTATATCAAGTCAAAAATGTTCTTTTAGTGCGACATATTTTTAGTATTTTCAAAAGAATTGTTTATAATTAAAATAAAGTAAATAACAAAATAAATAAATTAAAAAAATTTTAGAAAAAAATAAAAATTGAAGAATTAAATTAATTAAAGAATTTTTTCCAAAGAATTTAGTGACATTTGCAAGTAGTATTATTTTTAAGCTAGTAGTAATTTTCAACTAGTAGTAATTTGAAACAAATTTTAACTTGCAACTAGTAGTAATTTTAAAGAGTTTTTATTTTTCAACTAGTAGTAATTTTAAACAGGTTTTAATTTACAATTAGTATTTTCAACTAATATTCCAACTAGTATTTATTTCCAACTAGTTTTTGAGTTTTAATTTTCAGCTATAGTTACATTAATTGTCAACAACTAAAATAGAAACTGTTTAATTTCCATGACAACGAGAACTGCCTAACGACCAAACCCTTCTCTTCTAAAGTGTTTAAAGTCAGTAGAAATATAAAGTAGAAATATTTTACGAAAAATAATTTTTCAATGTTATTTTATCAACTAGTGACTTTTTGTTTATAAACAATTAACGTCAAAACACGTTTAAAATAATTTATGCTAATTGTTTTGTATACTGCATTTTGAATGTATTAAAAAGAATTTGATTGACATTCTATTCTGTTAGAGGTTAAGGACAATTTAGAAAAATGAATTTTGCAATCTAAGTACAAAACTTAACAGTAGAAAAAAATTATTAAAAAATGGAAGAATTAGAATTCGATACGAAAATTCCTGACGAAGGTGAAGAGACTTTTGAAGGAGAAGAATATGATGAAGCTCAAATTTCAGTCTCTCCTTCGTCAACCATGGACTTTAGGTAAGGACATTATTAATTTTAATACGAAAATTTTAATTAGAATTAGAATTGCAATCTGTAATACTAGATAATGCATAGATATTTCTAATTTCTAATTTCTAATTTACAAAAAAAAATTCAATTATTGCTTGTATTATTTACAGTGAACTGAAAATAAATACTATTTTCTTTTATTTATATTTTATGGTGAACTAAAAATAAATTCTATTATCTTTTATTTATAGTCAACTAAAAATAGATTTTACATTCCTTTATTTAAAAGTCAACTATAAATAAATAGAAAAAATATACGATAATGCAGAAAAAGATTAACAAACCACAATAAATAATTTCTATTACCAAATAGTTAATTACAATACATTCGCTAATGATATGAACTTTTACAACTTTAGGCAATCTTTAATTAAATATTCCCTTTTTTCAATTCAGAGTACTATGGATTCGAGACAGAGTTTTGAAATTTCTAGGATTAAACGGAATGAATCATCTTTTCAATGATCTTATAATGGTAATTACAAAATTTTCCATAACATTTTTTCCACAATCAGTATTTATGGCATAATAAATAATGCACAATAATAGTTATTTCATTGTTAATAATTGTCATTAACAGCTGATATATATGGATTACTCAATATCATCGCTATTTTTTCATATTGTTAACATGTTCTAATTCTAATAATTTGTTTTAATTTTTTATTATCATTATATTATTACCATTATTTTTTATTATTATTATTATAATTAATTTTTTTATTATAATTATTATATTTAATCTTTTTATTATAATTATTATAATTAATCTTTTTATTGTAATTATTATAATTGTTTTACACTGACAAATATTTGAATCAAATAAAATTATCTTTGTTATACAGTCAACTAAAAATTATTTTCGAATTAAACATAACAATTTTGATTCAATAAATATAATAAGTTTGATTCAATAAACATTACGCTTAATTCAATTATCAAATATGCTTAATTCAAACTTACTTTTTTAGTTGTCTACTTATTTTTGAATTAAAAAAAAAAATTTTTTTAGTGCAATATAATTATTATAATTATTTTTATTGGTATTTAATTGTTAAATAATTAGTATTATTATAAATTAATTGTTAAGTCATTGTTAATTAATTCGTATTGTTAATTTATAATTAATTAATTTGTATGGTTAATAAATTATTAACTCATTCGTATTGATAATTAATTGTTAATTAATTTGTATTGTTAATTAATTATTAATTAATTCATATTGATAATTAATTGTTAATTAATTCGTATTGTTAATTCCTATTATTATTGTATACTATTTTAATTTAGAAAAATGAGCGCCAAATTGAAAGGGAACTTCTCGATTTTTTAACATTTGACACTTATGGGGTAAAAGATTTATCGAAGAAGCAAGTATTTTTTTATAAAACGTATTGCAATGAAACAATACAGGAGGAAGTGTCAGTATGGGAAGAAAGTAAGTTTTAATTTTCCATTGTACGTAAACATCTTAATAAATTGAATTACAAAAAAAATGTTATTGTACTCACCACTCTGATGAGGGCAGGTCACCGTAAAATTACCGCCATGACTGCATTCGCCACAAAAAGTCGGCCGCAAAGGTTGACAAAAAGCGCACCTGGTAACGTCTAAAACAAAAATTGAACATTTGCACATTTTTGCACTGATATTTTATATTTTTAAAAATATAAAAAAAGAAATATTTCATTTTTCTAATATTTATTTCATTATCCTACTTTAAATTTTATTCGTTGTTCGAATATAGTATAGAATATTTATACAACTATTATTATTATTACATTTATTATTTTAATAATCAAAATTAAAAATTGAAATTAAAATTAAAAGCAATAAAAAATATAGGTATTTTTTATTTATTTAAAATCTTTTGCAAAAAGCACTGTAAATATTTGTGAATTAATTCAAGTAGATTAATTAATTATTATTGAATTAATTCAAATAGATAAATTAATTATTATTATTAAAATAATTCAAATAAATTGAAAGAAAACTAAAAAATTACCATTTCGTGAAAAAAAGGAAAAGTGGAAAAACAAGAGGAGCGAAAAAAGGAGAAGAAACCGAAGAAGGGAAAGAAAATGAAAGGCAAAAAAGATGCGAATGATTTGGAAAGTTCGGCAGTCAGTGCAATCACAGGCTCTACAATGTCATTGGGCAAATCTTTTCACTCGATTTTAATAGCCAGCGAGACTGGCGAAGAGGGTGATTTTTTCGATCACGAGGAAGATGAAGACGAAGTAAGAATCGAAACTCCCATCACACAATTGAAAAAAAAATCTAAAACGAAAAGCGATTCGTCTCGTAAGTGAAATTTATTATTTCTACTAATAATTATCAAGAATTAATTTTTCTCAACAAGTAAATAATTTAGAAATAAAAATAAGAAGTAAATAATTTAGAAAGAAAAATAAGAAGTAAATAATTCAGAAATAAAAATTAAAAGTAGGTAAATAATTTAGAAATAAAAATAAGAAGTAAATAATTCAGAAATAAAAATAAGAAGGAAATAATTTAGAAATAAAATAATAAGTAAATAATTTAGAAATAAAAATAAGAAATAAATAATTAAGAAGTAATTATAAACAACTAAGAAAAGAAAATTAACTAAATTCTCATATAAGGAATAATTCATAATTAATACAAAAGAGAAATTTACATAAATATAATTGCAAAATGAAATTTTTTAACAAAAAATAATTTACAGTCGAAACGGTGACTTTCTTACCGCCACCTGGAGATGAGGACAAGTACATACTCATTAAGGTAATAAGTGCAAGATAATAAACAGAAGTTCATAAACTTTGTAATAATTTATCTCTCTCTCTCTCTCTCTCTCAAAAAAAAAAAAAGAAGTGAAATCTCATATTTTCATATATTAAAGACAGAAAAAAATTACAAAAAAATGTATTTATTTATTACAATGTTTTTAACGACATAATTTTTTAGAAAGTAGTGGACAAAGTTGTTGAAGTACCCGTTATACATATATTTTTTGGCGAAATTGATTCTAAACGATGTGATTTAAAGGACATAAATCTTATATATTTTATGAGAACTAATGATGAAGGAACACCTGTTTTTAATACTCTTGAAGTGTGCTTTGCGGAAATGCCAAGTTACTTTGTCGTTGGATCTTTAAATGGCCAATTCTTGCCAACTCTTAATCGCATGCTCACTTACGTAATTATATTTTTTATGCATCGTATTTCGAAATTATTTTCTGTCCTAAAATATCATTTTATTTTCATATTTTTGAAATAAAGTAAGCAAATTTTACTTTTATTCGAAAATCAATTAGTGAATATTATTAAATATTACTAATATTAATATTATTAAAACTTTTATAGAATTTTAAGAACAATAAATATTAATGATATTATTTACTATATTCAGCAAAAAAAAAATATATTTGACTCAGAGCCAAATTTTTATTTATTTCAAATAAATTTTATTTATTTCAAACAAATAAGGAACCTAATTGCTTCTGAGACAAATATACTTTTATTTAACTCAAATAAATTATATTTTGTTTAAATAAAATTTTTCTCTCGGTGTTTTAATGTTATTTACTATTTATATTCTTATGCATTTATCAATTAAAAAATTTTTAATACATAATAATAATAATAAAAATGTTTCCTCAGGTTATTAAACCTCTGGTGGAAAAACAATTCCGAGGTCCAGCGGCAGCGCAGAGACTCTACACTCAAGAAATGTACAGCACGATATCTGGTTTAAATAATGAAAAATTATCATCGACATTGCAAAATATTGCAGCGTCCCAGGTTTCAAAAATAATTTTTAAAAATTTATTTTTATAATTCTAAGTCAGACAGTCCAAACAAAAAAAAAAAATGAATTGTTTTCTAATTTTTTTGGTGTAAGTAGTAAAAGTTGTTTTTAGCCAGACACAGTCTTATTTACATTCATTTTTTTGTTTTGGTGTTCAATTAATTGTCTTGAAAAGTTAAAAATAAGATTAAAATAAATTAAATATTAAATTAAAAAAATTAAAACTAAGAAAAGGTAAAATTCAAACTAAAAATGAATAAAGTTAAATAATTCTCACTACAGGTTTCTGCTTTTATGAGACCTTCCGACTACAGAAGAATCGCGTTGGCAGCAATGAAATCGAAAAGTACAGTTCTCGATTCAGGGGAGCAAAAAAATAGTGATAGGGTTGTGGGAAAAAATGATACCAATCAGCAGAGGGGGGATTTAATTCGCAGTAAAAGTGGAAAAGAAATTCCCCTCAGTCAAAAGCAATCAGATATTAGAAAATCTGATTCGATGTCATTCAGGTCACAGAGATCGATTCATTCGGCGACTATTGTTATTAAAAACGAGGAAATCGACGAAACTCCAATCGAACCGGTTAAGAAGGATTTGCTCGATTACTTGAATAAATTAACCGCAAGTGTCGAATGGTACTTTTTTTTCTCATTTTATATATTTTGTTTTTTATTTTTGTATTTTTATTTTGTATTTTTGTATTTTTGTATTTTTGTATTTTTGTATTTTTGTATTTTTGTATTTTTGTATTTTTGTATTTTTGTATTTTTGTATTTTTGTATTTTTGTATTTTTGTTGTATTATTCTGTTTGTTAAAAGTTTCCAATTGTTTCTAATTCAGGACATTGGATCATATTGAGAGCGACACACTGCTGACAATACCAAAAATTGACGAATTAACGGATCCGGAAGTAAGAGACGAGACTTTAAGTTCAAAGAAGGAAATCGTCGCACAATTGGAAGAGGCAGTTGGATCATGGGGTAAACACATACAAAAGGTATTAAAAAAATACAAAAAAGCAATAAAAAATTGAAAAATAACGAAAAAAAAACAAAAAACTTTGAAATTAATTTTAAAAAATGAAAAACAGACATTGGACACTTACGCCAGGAAAGAACTGAAGGGAAATGGTCCAATGGCAGAGTATGATGACTGGAGAGAAAGAGAGACATCACTCTCAGTGTTGGTTGAGCAACTAAAAACACCAATTGTCCAAAGAATACTGTCAATTTTAAATCAATGTCAGTCAACAATTGGCTCGAATTTTGAGTATTTTCAAAAGGAACTTTGGAAGAATTATGCCGAGGCCAGGGACAATAATAAGTTTCTCTTCACAGTATTGAGGTATTTCAAGGTGATGATACGAAATAGGTGTTAAAAATTAACTACAATTATAGTAATTTTCAGTAAATAAAGTAGAAAAACAAGCTACAGTAAAGTAAAAAAATAAAAAACAAAAATTGACTCTACTTATAAATAAAAATCGAAATTTTATAACTACTTAAATTAAATTTACATATAACTACTTTAAAAACGAAAAGAAATATTTATAGCTATTATATAAGAAATTAAGACTAAAAATTGCTATTATTTTAGAAAATCGAAATTAAAAAATTAAACATTCCTTTAAAAAATCGAATATTTCCTCATTTTTTTGACTTAAGTAGTCAAAGTAATTTATAGCCAGACACATCTGCTAAATCTTAAATAAATATTAAAGAACTAAAAAACTAAATTAAAAATGAAATGCTTTAAATAAATAAATTGAAATTAAAAATTAAACATTCCTTTAAAAAATCGAGTATTTTCTAAAAATTTTTGACGTAAGTAGTCAAAGTAATTTCTAGTCAGACATTTCTTGTAGATACTAAATAAATATTAAAGAATTCAACAACCGAAATTAAAAATTATGCGTGCTTTAAATAAACTAAAATTAAAAATTAAAGATTCCTTTAAAAAATCAAGTATTTTCTAATTTTTTGGCGTAAGTAGTCACAGTAATTTCTAGTCAGACACATTTTGTAGAAACTAAATAAATATTAAAGATCTAAAAAAACGAAATTAAAAATTAAATGCTATGAATAAATAAATCGAAATTAAAAGCTATTAAATACACTGAAATTAAAAATGAAATGCCCAAAAATAGATCAAAATTAAAAATTTGATGCCCAGATAAATCAAATTTGGAAATTCTGTGCCTATTTAGGTAAATCGAAATTAAAAATCAATTGCTTTTATATAAACAGAAATCGAAAATTAAATACCAATAAAAAAATTGAAATTAAAAATACGAAAAAAAAGGAAAATTAATAAATAAATAAAATAATGAAAAAAAAAATTCAAAATACTTAAAAATAAATTTTTGATAATCAATTAATAAAAAAATATTCACACACAGTTGATGGATGAGAGTGATTCTTTCGAGACAATAGCGGACGCGATTCCATTACTGATGAATGGAATACAAATGATGTGGGTCCTGTCAAAATACTACAGCATTGAGAATAAAATGGTGCCATTGCTCGAGAGAATTTCATGGCAATTGTCTCAAAATGTGACGAAGAATCTTTCAGTCAAAACACTTTTTAAGTAAGTTATATAAGATTACTGCGTCAATTTTTATCAAGTCCATCTTTTTTATACTTTTCAACTAAATAGGTGTAATAAGAATGCAGAACGCATTTGTCTGACTAAAAATGCCATTTACTACTAATTGAAACTAATTATTTTTTAGAAAAAAATATTTTACATTTTTTTCTAAAATAAAATCAAAATGAAATATTATTGAACTTATTTAATTAATAGTTAAATGTGTTATTTATATTATTTTACATTAATAGAAAAATTATATTCTTCATGAAAAGCAAGTTTTGAGCTAATTTAACGGTTTCTTGAAAAAATTATTTACAAACATTTAATTATTTACAAACCAATAATTAACAATATTTTTTATTAATTAATTAGTTAATATTATAAGTTATAATTATTAATAACATAAATATAAATTATAAAAAATTAACTTTTATTTTTTAATTTGCTATTTTCCTAATAAGTAGTAAATGATTCTCAAAGTCAGACGAAACGTAAATATTACTCTTTTTTATTTCAGTAGAAAATAACAGTAACTCTCAGACCAACTTTACTTTATTTTTATATTGTTCCTATAAAAATAGAATTTATACATAAAGACAGAAAGTAGAATAAGTCATTTTTTGTCAGACAAAATATTTCTATTTTCTTGTAAACTTATAATCAGTAGTAACAGTCCGTTCAAGTCAGACGAGTAATAATTTTTTTAATGACTTAATTTCTACAATTTGGTGACTAAGTTTAATTATTTAAATACTTTTATACAAAATAAATTTAGAAAGTAGTAAAATTCATTTTTTGTCAGACAAAATATTTTTAAATCAATTTAAATTTATAATTAGTAGTAAAAGTCAGCTCAAGTCAGACAAGTAATTTTTTTTAGTGACTAAGTTTAGTTATTTAGTGACTTTTATATGAAAAAGTAGTAAAAGTAATTTTTTGTCAGACAAAATATTTCTAATAAATTTCTTGTAAATTTATAATCAGTAGTAACAGTCAGATTAAGCCAGACAAGCAATTTTTTCTAATGTTTTAATTTCCACAATTTGGTAACTAAGTTTAGTAAAAAAGTGATAAGATTTATTAAAGTCAGACAAGATAGTTTCACTTTGTTTAAAATTTTGTGTTAAATAAATTACCAGACAATTTTTTTTGTTATTTTTACTCTTAAGAAATTGTTGTTAAACAAAAAGACCGCAAGATTTTCTACAGTTTGATGTGAGTATAGTAAAAGACATTCTATGTCAGACAAAATTTTTTTAATTCTTAAATCTCTACAAATCGCAGTAAAACTTAACTAGTAAATTTTTTCCCAATTTTTATTTCCCTTGTTAATAAAATGTTCAGTCTAGAAAATCATTAATTTTATTTTAGTAAAAAAAATTATTCCGCACTAGAAAAAGGTTACAAATTCTAAAAGTGGAAAGTAGTAAAAAAAAACTATAAAGTTGTCAGTAAAATTGTAAAGTAATAAAGGAAAGGATAAAGTAGTCAGGAAAATTATAAAGTGGTTAAGAAAAATATAAAGTAGTAAAAGAATTTTTTAGTCAGACAATTGTGATGAGATTTTTAATATTTTAAAATTAAATTATTATTTCAATTTTAGTCCGACCATTTTTTTTTCTAACAAAACATCTTTTTTTCCTTTGCCAAAATATTTAGAAAACCTCTAGAGGAAGTAATTCAAATGACCCAGAATGCTCACAAAATGACAAAAAAATGGAAGGCCACGTACCTCGAGACAAGAAGAAGTATTGAAAATTCCGGAAAAGGAGTACGCTGGGAATTCGATCAGCGTCGTTTATTCAAGGAAACAGAATACATATCGAATGTCTGTAAAGATTTGAATACAATAGCAAGTGTTGTTGAGGATTTTTACAATATATTCGGAGCCGAATTGAAATCAATAATCAACGATCCAACGCAAATCGATGCAATTGTGAAGCGCGTTGGTAAACTGACTCTACCAATTCAGGAGGCTGACTTTAATATTTTCTCCGAATTCAATAGAGAAAATTGGGAAGCAACAATGAATTGGTTTAATTCACAAGTGATAATTTTAGAGAGTGATGCTAAAATATTCATTGACGAGTGTTTTATGGTTTTAATAAGTGCCGAGGAGGCACTTTACATGTTGATGAAATTCAAAAAAATGAAAACAAGAGCAGCCATTCAGGAGCAATTGTCGAAGAAATTTGACGTTATTATGCAACAATTCAGCAAGGAAATTGGAATGGTTGAGGATTTATTTAATCAGGGTTTGTTTACTTATTCTTTATTTCAAAAAAAATTTTTTTTTACCACAATTAAATTTTTTTAAACCCAAATACAATTTTTATTTAAATTTAAAAAAAATTGTTACAGACAAATTAATTCATTTGAAACAAATAAATTCAGTTGAAGCAAATAAATTTAATTAAAACAAATAAATTCAGTTGAAGCAAATAAATTTAATTAAAACAAATAAATTTAGTTGGAAAAAATAAATTTTATTTAAATGAAGTAGAATTTTATTGGAAACAAATCAATTTAATGTAAAAAAAAATTACTAAGAGAAAAATATAAATTTTTCTCCTAGTAATTTTTTTTAACCTCTTACTTGATGTAAAAATTAGTATGTTGATTTATTTATAAATTTGAAATCAGAAACAAATAAATTTATTAAAAACAAAGAAAATTAATCATGAAACAAATTAATTATATTAAAATCAAAGAAAATTTTATTTAAATTAAATAAAAAATTTCTTGTTTATAGGTAAAAGAAATCCACCGCTACTGTCATATCATCCACCAATTGCTGGTGCAATTTTCTGGGAAAGACAATTATTTCATCGACTCAAGGATCCAGTGATTCTATTTCAAAATATCAAAGAATTGAAAAACAGTGATTTAAAGTTATTCGCTTTCGGCCAATACATGGAATTGGCAAAGCAAATGGAGTCCTTTGAGGAAAGCAAATTTTTCACATGGCTAGAGAAAGCTCAATTTATAGCTGTCAATTCAATGAAACAAAGTATTCTCTCAATAGAATCGGGTAAAAAAAGATTTATCCAAGTTTTTAAATAAATTCAAATTTTACTATTTATCTAATTTCTCATAAAACTTAATAAAATTTTTAATTTAAATTCGGAAATTCTAAATTTAAAATTTAAATTTTGAAATTTTTAATTTAGAATTTAAATTTTAAAACAAACAAAATTACAAAGTTTAGTCATGAACTATCAAAAATAATTATATAAAATACTCCTTTCAGGTGATGGAGAAAAATTTCCAACTTATTTTAGTAAAAAGAGAAAATCGAAGACTAAGGAACGTAGTCTTCTTACACTCACTGAATCAGCGAAACGAAACGAGCGAATTTTGTCCAAATTTAGTTTCGGTAGAGTAAATAATTTTTGTAATAACAATATTATAATTATTATTCAATATAAAAAATAATACTTTAATTATTTCGTTTCTATATTTCGGTAATTTTTGTCAGAGTAAATAATTTTCATAATAATAATTATTTCTCTTAATACTAAATTTACTTGGCTAATACATATTTATTTAAATTATTATTTATATGCAAAATAAATATTTAGCAAAGTAAATAAATTTTAAAATAATTATTTTCTTTTGTATTAAATTTATTTTTTTCAATATATTTTATTATTTTCAATTAATTTTTTTTTTGATTGAATCATTTGTGAATTTTAAATTTAAATGAATTCGTAAATTTTAATTTATAACTAAAAAAAATTCCGTGAAAAAAATGCAGGTACAGGTGATTCTGCAATTATGACAATGAGATCGACTGTGGGCAAAAAAACATTGCATTCGGAGAGAACGGATATAAAATCCGAGAGAAAAGAAGACGATATTAATTCAAAGCAATTGTCAAAAATTGTATCCATATTTAAGGAATCCAAATTGCCAACTTTACCCGCTTTGCCCGAGAAAAAGGAGAAAAAAATCACCTGGGCGGAAATAATGCAAGGATACATTCTTACTGAACGTAATTTGAGATTTAAATTGAACTTCGATTTGTCGATATTTGAAATAATTCGTGAGGTATAAAATTCCTTTCAAAAGAATTATTTATTTATTTATTTGCAAATAATTTTTTTTCTACTTTCAAAATAATCTTAATTAATTTTATTTAACAATTTTACGCTTAAAAAATTATTTTATCCAAATATTCGTTTATTTGTCTATTATCAAGTCTATTATCCAATAATTTTTATTCTAGTCAATTAAATCGTATTTGCTTTAAATACTGAAATTATTAGTCGGTTTAAATAAAATTTATTAGAACTAAGTGAATATTATTTGATTTAAATAAATATTTATTTGATAATAGACAAGTAGTCGGATATTTAAATTAAATAATTTTTTTTCCAGTGTAATATTGAGAAAATTAACAATTTTTTAATTTGAATTTAGAAAGTAAAAATAATTTTTCTCCATTTTTTTGAAACTTCTATTTCAGGCCGAACTATTGGAACAACTTCGTTTCGAATTACCCGCAGTAATAAAAGACGTTAGCATTCAAAAAATTCGATTAAACAAAGATAAGGAGAACACGGAAAAAATGGTCAATCAGTACAATGAAATTCTTAACAAATTGGATCACGTTGATGTAATTACTTTCAATTTTAATAAAATTAGATTTTAAAAACAGTAAAATTTTTTTAAATAAAAAAAAACACAAACACAGGTACAACTTTTGAAAAATGCTTTGAAAAATATGGAAAAATATATGCAACCTGGAGTGACGAGATTGAATTGGCATTCCTTAGGTATCAAAGAGTATGCTTCGAGTTGTAATAAATTATTAAAAACTTTAGTCTCCCTCGTGTCACAAGTGGACCAAATAAAAGCTGATCTTGAGCAAAGAATTAATTTTCAAGTCTACAATTTATATTCAACAAATCAAGATCCATGTGTTCCGGGTTATCAACTGCAAACTTGTAGGGTTGGTTAACTTTTTCTCAAAAAATAAAAAATATAATTATAAATAATTATAATTATAATTATAATTATAATTTATTATTTATAATTATAATTATAATTTGTCCCTTAATTCTATAATTGAATCCATTTTTCCCTTTGAACGAATGTTTTAACATTTTGTTTGTTTTTCAAAATAGGATTACTATGCTGAAATTGAAACGAGAAGAACAGAGGTGACTTGTGCAATGACAAAAATTTACAGTTCTATTACCCCCCTGCTGATTAAATTGGAAAGTCTTGTGGAGGAAACTTCAACTGGAAAAAGCGAGGCAATGCAATTGTTTTACGAAAAATATGAATACAAAATATTCGATGGCTTTGTGAAGTAAGTTTCCGAAATTTAATTAAAATTATGAATAAAACTTGTTAAATTTCTAAAAATTTAGAATTAATTAAACTTAGAATTTTTTTTTTGCAACTAGGACAGAATAATTTTTATAAACATATGCAAATTTTTTAACTTAAAAATACAAAAATACAAATATTTCCTTTTTGTAAAATTGTTTTTTAAAATTATTTTGTTATAAAATGCAGAAACAAAATAATCAGGCCTTTTTTCAAAATAAAAAAGAATAAAAAAACAGAAATGTAGAAAATATAAAAAATAGAAATACAAAAATATAAAAATAAAAATACAAAAATGTAAAAATGAAAATACAAAAATATAAAAATTAAAAAATTGAAAATAGAAAAAATAAGTAGAAAAATACAAAATTTTAAAAAGTAAAAATAGAAAAATATAGTAGTTCATAAGTATAAAAATTCTGCAAATAAAACATGAATTACTAAAAACCTATTTATTTTCTGTAGATGCTTCATAAAAAATTTGGAATTAATAAACAATTTATTGTCCGGCAATAAACCGCTTTTCACTGTCGAAGCCATTTTATTAGCGTCGGAAGTTGTTTTGAGACCATCGGCAGCCGAAATTTTTACGATAATTCTTCACGACGTGAAAGATTTAATGGATAGAGCGAAAAATTTTCCCCGTTGGAAAAGAGGCACTTGCCTCGTCTGCAAACCAGAACTACAATACGATGTGGAAATTTCTCTTCTATTTCACTTCTACGAAGATATAATGAACATTCAGGTTTTAAAAAACTTTTATGACGTCTCTCAATAAATTTCTAAACTAAATTTCTTTTTTTTAATTTCAAAATTCTTCGAAACAAAATTTTGAAAAAAAAACCAAATGCAGTATGCATAAATAAAAATTATATATTACTATAAACAAATAAAATAATATATATATAGATAAATAAAACAAAATTTATTCTACATTCAACAAAATATTTACATGAGACAACGATAAGTTTCTCTAAAATAGCTATTTTATTTATTATTTAGATTCAGAAGAGTGATAAAAACTCGTTATTAATTATAAATTTATAAATAAAACAATACATAACGAAAAAATAATTTTCGCAATTATTTCCAACACTGAAAATCGATTTCAGATAATCAATGATTTAATAAAAAATATACAAGAAACAGCGCAAAGAATAGCGACAAATTGCTTCACCTATCTTCTCAGATGGATAAAATACTCAAATATTTGGTATTTCGATAAAAGAAGTATGTGCGAAAAATTCGTCAATACTTGTCCAACATTGCAAAAATATGATGAAAAATTCACAATTTATGGGACAATAATTAAAGATATTCGTGAAATGAATAATTACTACGATCTTGGCAGCATCAGGTTTCCCAACAAACATTAATTTTAATTTCTTTATTTAAAAAAAAAAAAAAGAAAATTACAATTACAATTTCTTTCTACAAATTTAAAAAAAACTCTGGAATTTCTGAGTTTTTTCTACAAATCTAAAAAAAATTACAATTTTAGAGAGTAATTTTAAAAAATTATTAATTATAGGTAATAAAAATAATAATTTATCATATTGAAAAAATTAAAAAATTGAAGAAAAATATTCGTTTCTTTTTAGAATAAATCTAAAACCTCTTCTTCAAGAAATCAGTGAACATGCCACCGAATGGAAAAACATACTGGGAAAATATCTCTTGGACGAGACAATTGAATCGATGATTAATCTCAAGACAAAAATTGAAAATTATCGTGAGGAAATTGAACTCGTTATCAGTGGTTTGGAACGTTTTAAGACCATCATGCAAGCAATTTCCGATGTTAAAAAAATGGCAATTCAAGCTGATGTGCAGTACCGTTTGTACCAGGTTTTATTTTTCTTACGATAAATTAATTATTTTTTCAAAAATTTAAAAAAAACCTTTTTTGATTATAAATTTAATAAGAGTAACAATAAGCAAAAAGTAAGAATTTTCGACGAAAAGTGTATAAAAATTAACATAAATAAAAAATAAATAATAAATAATTAATTAATTAATTTAAATAATAAATAATTCAATGTAATTAACTAATCAATTATTATTAATCAATTTTCGATGCAAATAGGAAACATTTCGAACCCTCAGGATGCATAAAATAACATTTAATTCGGAGGACGAGAATATGGCTTACAAACTACAAGAGGATTGGGAGTCACTTTATTTGGGTGCTCTTTACAGAGCCACCACTTTGGAGAGTACAAAGGACAGATTTTGCGAGATGACAATTGAACAAATTGAAGATTTCAGTCGAGAATTTTTGGAGTTTTCTAAAGATTTTGAATCAAATGGTCCGGGAAGTGTTGGCGTTGATTTAGATCGAGGAATAAAAATGATGAGCGTAGGACTTTATATTTCTAATCAAATTTTTAACGTTCAAATAGACAACGATAAATTTTTATCAACAAAATATTATTTTCTGTATATTAACAAAAATTAGTTCTAAACTAAAAGTTCAATTTATAGTTTCATTCTTTTTTAATTTAATTTTTCACTTCAGTAAAGAAAAAAAAAATATTTTACACTGTAAATTTCTACTTAATATTTACTAAAATTCCTGTAGAAATTCCGTTGAACATTTTTAATGAATTTCTATAGAATGTTCACCAGATTTTATATAGAATCATTCTAGTAAAATTTTATAGAATTATTTTGAGTTATAATAGAGAATAAAATAATGAAAATGGAATAAAAAAAATAAAAAAGAAAACACAAAGTAAAATTAAAAAAAATAGGAAACAAAATAAATAATAGAAAATAGTATAAAAGTAGTGAATAAAATGAAGAAAATAGGAAGGCAAATAAAACAAATGTTAATAAAATAATGAAAGAAGAATATAAAACAAAGAAAGTAGAAAATAACATAAAGAAAATAAAAAATAATAAAGAAAGTAGAAAATAAAAAAAAGAAAATTGAAAATAAATTAAAGAGAATAGAAAATAATAAAAAAAAATGTTAATAAAATAATGAAAGTAAAATAGAAAACAAAGAAAGTAGAAAATAACATAAAGAAAATAAAAAATAATAAAGAAAGTAGAAAATAAAAAAAAAGATAGAAAATAAATTAAAGAGAATAAAAAATAATAAAAAAATAGAAAATAAAATAAAGAAAATAGAAAAACATATTTAACCAAAAAAGCAATTTTTCCTCTCCCCAGGATTATGGAAAACAAATTGAATCATTGGAGGAGAAGAGACTCGATTTAGTGAATGCCGAAATTCTATTCGACCTTGAACCGACGGATTACACATTTTTTCTGAATGTCAAAAGAGATTACGAGGGAATGGAATTATTGTACAAATTGTACAAACAACAAAAGAACGCTCGTGATATTTGGTCAAAGACATTGTGGGTGAATTTGAATCCCCAACAATTAATGGACGGAATGGATGGATTTTTGAAGGAATTTCGAAAATTACCAAAAGCAGTTCGGGCGCTCAGTGTGGGACAAGCATTAGAGACAATAATGAAGGATTTCAGAAATTCCGTGCCACTATTTGTGGAATTGAAAAATGAAGCAATGAGGGAGAGACATTGGCAAGAATTGATGGAAAAAACAGGAAAACATTTCGATATGTCTCCCGACAGGTCCGCGAAGCAATAATTTATTTTTTTCAAATTTAAAAAGAAATATTTTTTTTTTAATACGATATTATCTTCAAGAAATTTTCATTGATTTTTTTATTTATCATTTTTAATGATTTTTTATCATTATTTTTACTATTATTATTATTATTAATATTTATTGTTATGTTTATTATTTATTTACTTATTTAATTTCATTATTCTTATTATTTATTATTATTAATTTTGTTATTAATTATTACTTATTATTATTTATTATTATTAATTATTAGTTATTATTACTTATTATTAATTATTATTAATTATTACTTATTATTCTTAATTATTAATAATAATATTGTTATTTTTTTTACTATTATAATTTACTTCTATTATTATGTAGTTGAAAAATCTGCAAAATTTACTTAAATTGTTTTTTAAATAATTTTTCGAACATTTTGTAAACAAAGAAATATTCGAATAAGAATTTTAGAATGAATTTAAATGTAACATTATAAAATGAAATGTGAATGTAAAAACGAAAAAAATTTTAAGATAAAAAAACCCTTCACTTCCATCATTTCCTAAAATAATTTTCATGTTCTATGAATTTTTAATATAAAAATGAAAAAATTGTTAAAAAAAAATGTTATTTAATATTATTTAGTAGTTCAAAATTATTTTTTTTTCAATTTCTTATATTTAGGACATAGTTTTTTATTCAGAAAAAATTTGTTCTACTAAATTCCTGTGTGAAAAATAACTAAAAACATAAATAGCCTGATTTTATTTTGATATTTTTTATTTTATTCCTAATTAACTAAATTAATTAGTAATAATTAAATTCTGAAAATAAAAATTCGTAAAACATGAAATTCTTTTTTCGAAAAAAGACTTTATTAACAATGTGCAAAAGAAATAAATAATTTATTAATATTAATAAATAATAATAAATATTATATTAATAAACCTTGAAAAAATTATTACTGGGGGAAATGAGATACCTGACCAGATAAAATGGAGGGGTGAGTAATAATTTTTTTTTCACTCTTTTTGCATCCCTCCAAATTTAGTACAGTCAAAATTATATTTAATTATCAGATAAAAAAAAATGTCTTTTTTCACAAAAGGTTCACTTTGGAAAACATGTTTGCCATGGATTTGGCGAAACATCAAGAAATTGCGCAAATTATTGTTAACAATGCTATCAGAGAATTGTCAATCGAGAAAGGAGTGAAGGAAATCGCTCAAGTCTGGACAACAATGGATTTTACAGTCATTAAACATTTTAAAGGTTTAATAATTATTTTTTCAAAAATATTTTAAAGGTATAATAATTATTTTTTAAAAATATCTTGAAGGTTTAATAATTATTTCTTAAACAAAAATTTCTCAAAAAGTGTTTTAATTTAGGAAAATAAAATTATAAAAAATATTTGATTATAAAAATTTACCTTTTAAGAAAGATTACCTTCTTAGAAAAATAAAATTATAAAAAATATTTGATTATAAATAAATAAATTAATAAATTTAAATTTAAAATAAACAGGAAATGAAGATCGAGGTTTTATTCTCGCTCCTGTCGACGAATTGAATCAAGTTCTAGAAGATAATATGATGAATCTGCAAAGTATGTCATCGTCACAATTTATCGGTCCATTTTTGTCGACTGTGCAAAAATGGGAGAAATCGATGCAAACAATTTCTGAAGTTATTGAAGTTTGGATTGAATTGCAAAGAAAGTGGTTGTACTTGGAGGGAATATTCGTCGGTGGCGATATTAGAACACAACTTCCTGAAGAAGCCAAAAAATTCGACGAAATTGATAAGAATTTTCGAAAAATAATGCTCGATACTTCTAAACGATTGAATGTCCTCGAATGTTGTTCGATTGCCGGTAGGACTAATTTATTACCATATTTTATAAAACTAAACATTTAAAAATTAATTTATATTTTTATATTTTTTAATATTTTATAAAAAATATATTTTACATTCAGCGTTGGTCCTTCGTCGGTACCTTTCAAATAAATAAAATATTTTTTCTCTCTAAATATTTTCAAAAAAATTACCGATTGCATTTAAAAATAAAAATGTAATTAAAACACTTTGAAAGTTTGTAAATAAATTTTTAATTCGTACAGTCAAACCTGTAGGAATGCAACTCTATTTAAAAAAATTTTTTTATATTCAAAAATGTCCAAGAAAAATTATTTTCACTACTTAATTCCAGAATATTGTAAAAATATTATAAAATTTATAAAATTAAATTATAAAACAATTTTTAATGATTGTTTACTGTAATAAAATTTATAAAATCGAGTTGTATTCCGACAGGTTCCATTGTACCGCAATATTATTGTAATACAATAATTTAATGTGAAGAGAAAACAAATAAATTTCGTTCATTTGAAAAATTCGATTTTTACGAATAAAAATAAAATATAAAATAAAAAATAAAATACCCAATAAAATGTTCAATAAAATATACAATAAAATATAAAATATATTTTCTATAAAAATTTTACATTTCTTATTTTTACATTAAAAAAAAATGTTCTTTTCACAGGTCGCAAAGAGGAATTCGAAGGACTCAGTGCAGGACTCGAAAGATGTCAAAAATCCCTCACCGAGTACTTGAACACAAAACGAGCAATATTTCCGCGATTCAATTTTATCAGTGACGACGAACTTTTGGGAATTTTAGGCAGCAATGAACCAAGTGTTATACAGGAGCATATTGGAAAAATGTTCGATAATCTCAAAAAATTCAGATTAGGTCCCGATTTAGAGGGGAGAACAGTGGCGAGTGCGCTAATTTCCAATGAGAATGAAATAATGGAATTTAGAAATTCAGTATTTGCCGAGGGGAAAATAGAAGAATGGATGGTCCTCGCTCTTGAGGAAATGAGAAGATCGAATAGATATTTAACGAAAAAAGCAGTTCACAATTATGGCAAGGTTAAAAATAGGATTAAAAAAAATATCCTTAAAATTCTAAACGTTCAAATGAACGAAAATTATTTATTTTATCATTTTTTTTGTTATTTATTTATTCGCTGTAAAGAAATTTTTTTTCCAAAAATATGTTTGAATTAAATGTAATTTTCGTTAAATCAAAATTATTATATTTAATTATATTTAATTCAAGTATATTGTTTTCTCAGTGTTCATTTATTCGTCATTTTAATATTTATTTAAAAATGTTTAATTTACCTTTCTAATTTTTATTCAAGTAGATAATTTCTGGAAATAATTATTTTCAGAAAAATTTCGTTCATTTTAATATTCAGAACTTATATGAATTACTAAATGAATATAAAAACGAAGAATTAAATAGGGAAAAAAATTTAAAAATTTTATTAATTACACCGAGAAAACAATATATTTGAATCAAAATTAATTATCTTTGCTATACAGTCAACCAAAAATTATTTTTTAATGAAACATAATAATTTTGATTCAATAAAAATAACGTTTAATTCAATTATATAATATCTTTGATTCAAACATATTTTTTTGGTTAGCTACATATTTTTTTGATTGGCTACATATATTTTTGAATTAAAAGAACATTTTTCTCAGGGTAGAAAAAATATTTTTTTTCCAATAAATTCGAATCTATTTGTTGAAGGAAAGAAGACCGAGAACCGAGTGGATGTTAGATTATCAAGGGATGATGATACTCGCTGCAAATCAAATATGGTGGACAGCAGAAGTTGAGAATGTTTTTCAAAAAATTGCCCAAGGAAGCAAACGTGCCATGAAGGAGGTACTTTAATCGCCCAGATTAAAATATTGTATTTAAATTTTAAAATTCAATTTTTTTTGTAATTAAATTACATTCTTAATGTCAGTAGTATTTGCAACAACTCAACACTCAACTGGACGAAGTTGTTACCCTAATGGGAGGCGACAATCTCACCAATAATGATCGCAAAAAATTGGATACAATTTTAACAGTCGACGTTCACATTCGCGATATTATTGACGAATTCGTTAGGGACAGTATAATGGACGCAATGGAATTCGAATGGGAGAGTCAATTGAGGTATTTAATATTCCAACTAAAAAATTTTTGCACTATTTTTAATAGTAATTTTAATATTTAATATTTATTTTTAATAGTAATTTTAATTTTTTCTAAATAATTGAATTTCTCAGAAGTATAAATAAATAAACTTAAATAAAAAACTAAACAAAAGTGATAAAAATTCACAACTTTTCTAAAAAATATCAAATTGAGACAAAAAATCGTATATCAAAATCGTGACAATGCAACGTTTTGATAGTCTCAATTTGAGAATTTTGGAAAAACTAAAACTGTAAATTGATTTTTGCGAAACGAATTTTTTATTGAGTAGTAAAAGCAAACGTTTGGTCAGACAATTTTTGGAATTTCGATGATGGAATTCAATTTAGAGAGTAGAATTAAAATAAATTTAATTGAAACTTAGATTTTACTGGGCTCACGATTTGGATAACGTGTGGATGAATCAGTGCACCGGAAGTTTCGAGTACGGCTACGAGTACATGGGACTGAATGGAAGACTCGTTATCACTCCCTTGACAGACAGAATTTATTTGACCATTACTCAGGCACTGTCGATGCACTTGGGAGGCGCACCCGCGGGTAATTACTGAAAACTAAGTTATTTCAAATAATTTCCAACATTTCTAATCTAAATTACTTTCTAAATCTAAATTACATTAATTATTTGACAGTAAAACCGTGAACGACTCAGACCTATTTTAATTACTAACAAAAATAACTAATTTTTAGTATAGAAAACAAATTCAACAGTCAAATTTAACTAAATGTGAAAAAAATTACTAACATATTGACAGAAACAAATCTAATATATTTCCAAATTACTTTAACTAGCGAATTAGTAATTTTTTACTAAAAATTAAATTTCTCTTTTATTCCTATGAAAATTAGGCCCAGCGGGAACGGGTAAAACGGAGACAGTGAAAGATCTCGCGAAGGCATTGGGACTCTTGTGTATTGTCACGAATTGCGGTGAAGGAATGGATTACGTTGCAATTGGCAAAACTTTAGGTGGTTTAGCGCAATGTGGAGCTTGGGGTTGTTTCGATGAATTCAATCGAATCGACGTCTCTGTCTTATCGGTTATTTCGACTCAATTACAAACAATAAGATCTGCATTGCAGAGCAAAGTTCAAACATTTACGGTCAGTAAAATTATTATTCTTGATTATTAACGGTCTATTGATATTTAAAATTCAGAATTTTTAATTTCTATTAATTGTTAATTGTTAATTTTAGTTTTCAATCTCTATATAATAATAAATTATTAATTTTATTATTATTTATAAATAAATAAATTAATACGAATCAATAAAAATCAGTAATTTTTCAGCAGTATAATTAAACTTTTTCTGACAACAATAAAAGTGTACTACTGTTTCTCTAAGTCACGAATATTATTTACTACTGAAAGAAATTTATGTCAAATATATATTCGTAAACTTTGTATATCAGTAGTACAAATAATTTTTTGTCAGAAAAAATATTTAAATTCTTGAAAGCTTCTATCAAGCTAAATTCTTAAAAACTAGTAGTACGAAATAATTCAAGTCAGACAAGTTTGTTTAATTTTTCTGATTTAAATTAATAAATAAAGAATTCAACAAATTTAATATTTTATAAATAAGTAACCTTGTAAAGTGTTCGACTAAAATTATTTAGTACTACTGATTCAAAAATTGACAAAATTAATAGAAATATGGTCTGTTTAGAACAATCTAAATAAATATAATAAATAAAACTGATTTTGCAATAAAAATAAATTAGTAAAATACTAAAAAAATTAGTAAATTTCTGTACTATAACATTAGTTCGAATTTTTGTCTGACTAAAATAAACATTAACTACTATCTCACTAAGTTACAGTTTTGTACTACAATCAGAAAATAATATCAAATTGATACAGACTTTAGTCTGACAAAAAATGCTATATATTAATTATTTCAGTAGTAAAGGTCAATTTTAGTCAGGCGGAAGGTATAATTATAAACTTTCTTGTAATCTAAATTTCAGTAGTAAAGGTTACGTTGACTATAAGTAGTAAAGTTTAGTTTTGTCACGCGAAATATTTAAATTGTTAAAAGTTCATAAATAATTTAATTCTTGAATTTAATTATAAAATTAAATTACAGAATTAAATTATTAAATTAAATTGTGGAATTAAATTTTTTTTATTTTAATTAATTAGACCAAGTAGTAACTGACAGTTTCACTGAGACAAATATTTTATACAAATTCCTTTAATTTTAGTATCAGTATAGTAAAAAATAATTTTACTCAGACAAGAAATCAATGTAAATTTTCTTTGTAGAATTTTTGTTAATAAATTTCGTTAAACTCTGTTAGTATTAAATTTCTAGAATTAAATACTAATTTAATTTAATTCTATAATTTAATTCTATAATTTAAATTTATAATTTAATTCTTCAAATGAATTTTATAATTTAATTAAAGAATTAAATTATAGAATTAAATGAAATTAGCAATTAATTCTTGAAATTTAATACTAACAGAGTTTAACGAAATTTATAAACAAAAATTCCACAAAGAAAAATTACATTGATGTCTTGTCTGAGTAAAATTTTTTTTACTACTGCGATACTAAAATTATTGGAATTAGTATAAAATATTTGTCTTAGTGAAAGTGTCATTTACTACTTGGTCTAATTAAAATAAAAATTTTGATTTTCAGCTATGTTGACTTACGAAATTTTGCAAAGCAATCCTGTCTGACTAAAATTAACTTCTACTACTGTATTTAAATAGAGAAAACATGTACTATTGTTATTCAAAATTTAACAAACAAAATGTTTTATATAACAAAAATTGTTATCGAATACAATATACTTACAAACTTTAGTCATTATTGAACCAGTAGTACAAGTCATTTTTAGTCAGACAATGCATTAAAATTCTTGATAGTTTATAATAATCAGTAAGTGATACTTTTGGTAAGGCAAATTATAATAATTATAATAATTTCTATAATTTTACAAAAAAAGTAAAAAAATTTATATTTTCTCAGACTAATTAAAATTTTTTGACAGTATTTTCTAGTAGTAGACAGCAATTTTAGTCCGACAAAACATTTTCTGTATTTATTATTTCAGTAGTAAAGGTCAATTTTAGTCAGTTTTAATTTTTCAGTCAATTTTTAGTGTTAATTTAATTTTTTAGAAAACCATCTAGTAGTTAAACTCACTTTTTAGTCAGACTGAGCATTTTAAACTTTAAAGTGTTCTAATTATTAAATAAAGTCTGATAACATAAAATAATAAATGAGGCAAAGCTCTCCAAATTATTTCAATTATCCGACTACAATTTTAATAATAAAATTATTAATTATCTTCTCTTTATTAAAATTATTAGACTTCTTCCAGAAATTAAACTCAGTTTTTAGTCAGACATGCAATTTATGCACCCTGCAGGAAAATGGCGCTAATGTATGTAAAAATGTGTGACAAGGGGGAGGTAAAAATGATTTAAAAAAATAGTGTAACGTAATATGTGGATGGCCCCTAATAATTATTTATAAATAATAATTATTATTATAATAGTAATAACAATAACAATAGTAATAACAATAATAATAGTGATATAGCAATAATAATAGTAATAATAATAATATTAATAAATAACCATGTAACAAGTTACATTTAAAATTTTAAACAGTTCGAGAATCAGGACATTGTGCTCGACTCAAAAGTGGGAATATTCATAACAATGAATCCTGGCTACGCGGGTCGTACAGAACTACCAGAATCGGTGAAGGCACTATTTAGACCGGTTGTTTGCATTGTTCCCGATATGGAAATGATTTGTCAGATAAAATTGTTCAGTGCCGGTTTCCTCACTGCCAAAGTTCTTGCCAAGAAAATGACAGTCCTCTACAAATTGGCCAGCGAACAATTGAGTAAACAGACGCACTACGATTTTGGTCTGAGAGCATTGAAATCGGTGTTAAATATGGCGGGAAATTTGCGAAGAACATCAGGAAATTTACAAGAAAATGTCGTTCTAATGAGAGCATTACGTGACATGAATCTACCAAAATTTATATTCGACGACGTTCCTCTTTTTCTTGGATTAATTAAGGATCTATTTCCCGGTCTCGATTGTCCCAGGGTCAGGTATCCTGATTTTAACGATGCCGTCGAAGAGGTTCTTGATAAGAATGGTTATGTTGTACTTCCCGATCAGGTATTATTTCATTAATAATTAATTTAATTAATTAATAACTAAATAATTAATTAATTTAATTAATTAAATTAAATAAATTAATGTAATCACTTTCTCTCTCAGTCCTTTGAAGAAAATTACAATTCTCAACAATTTTTAAAATTCAGAGACTAGAATTGTAAGAAAACTAATTATAATTATACACTGAGAAAAAAATTATTTGATTCAAATAACCGATTAATTGACTATTATCAATTAAATATTTAATTGAATCAAATAATATTTATTGAAGTCAATTAAATGGTTCACTTTATATTTGCTTCAAATACTGAAATTGTTGGTTCAAATACCATTTAATTGACTCCAATAAATATTATTTGATTCAAGTAAATATTTACTTTATATAGTCAATTAATCGGTTACTTGAATCAAATAAATTTTTTTTTAGTGTAATGAACTTACAAATTATAGAAAATAAATTTTAATTGTACTAAATAAATTATAATTATAATATACAGTAATTGGAATAAATTAATTACAATAATAACAAACTATAATTCTAGTAAATAAATTAAAATTATAATAAATTAAAATTATAATAAATTAAAATTATAATAAATAAAAACAATAACTTATTTTAAGGTGGATAAAGTTGTTCAAATGTACGAAGTAATGATGACGAGACACTCGACAATGATTGTTGGACCTACAGGAGGTGGCAAGTCAGTTGTAATAGAAACTTTATGCAAAGCTCAAACCTATTTGGATAAGCCAACCAAACTTTTTGTCATGAATCCAAAAGTATTAATATTAATAAATTAATTATTTATTACTCTCACAGTTATTACTAAATTTATTATTATTATTATTATTATTATTATTATTATTATTATTTACTTATTAATTATCATTTATTATTATTACATTGATACTGTAACTGTTATTGTTACTTTTACTGTAACTCTTATTGTTACCTTTACTGTTAACTGTTACTTTTATTGTTACATAATGTTACTTTTATTATTAACAATAAAAAATTGACATTACTTGTTTTCAAAAACTAATATTATCATTAAATTTTTAATATAACAAAAATTTAAGAATTCTTTCAATAGGCATGCACAGTAACGGAACTCTACGGTGTGTTGGATCCCCTGACACGTGATTGGACCGATGGTCTTTTGAGTAAAATATTTCGGGAAATAAACAGAAGTCCAGAATCGGGAAAAGATGAGAGACGATATATTCTATTTGATGGAGACGTGGACGCATTGTGGATCGAGAATATGAATTCGGTTATGGATGACAATAAATTATTGACTCTAGCTAATCAAGAGAGGATAAAATTACAAGATCATTGCAGTCTTCTCTTTGAAGTAATTTTAAAAACACAATTTCTTCGCGTCAATTTTTATTTAAACTTATGTCTGACTAAAAACTGTCTTTATCACTAACACCCCCAAAATATAATTGTGAAAATAATAAAAAATATGATAGAAATTAAAAATAATAACAATGCCTGACTTAAAATTGACTCTCACTAATTAATTGTTAAAAGTTTTAAGGTACTTTAAATCCCTCCGCTAAAGAAAAAATAGTAGAGAATTTTAAGGATGGAACGCGTTTAAAAATTCATATAATTCAATTATTAATAATTAGTAGTACAAGTCAGGTTTAGTCAGACAATATTTTTTGTCGTTATTTTGCAATAAAATTTAATTAACATTAGTACAAGTAAATTTTAGTCAGACAATTTTTTGGTAGTTTTTTAAGAATCAAATTTAATTACAAGTAGTACAAGTCAATTTTAGTCAGACAATATTTTTTGTTGTTTTTTAGAATCAAATTTCATTATCAGTAATACTAGTCAGGTTTAGTCAGGCAATATTTTTTATCTTGATATATTATTTATTATAATAAAATTTAATCATGAGTAGTACAAGTCAATTTTAATCAGACAATAGTTTTTGTAGTTTTCTTTAGAACCAAATTTAATTAACAGTAGTTCAAGTCACTTTTAGTTAGGCATTATTTTTTTATCAATTATTTTTTACTTCGAATAGTAAAATTTAATCATGAGTAGTACAAGTCAATTTTATTCAGACAATAGTTTTTGTAGTTTTTTTCAAAACCAAATTTAATTAACAGTAGTACAAGTCACGTTTAGTCAGGCAATATTTTCTAGTTCTTATAGTAAAATTTAATCATTAGTAGTGCATGACAGGTTTAGTCAGACAATATTCTTTGTCATTATTTTACAATAAAGTGTATTTAGTAGTACAAGTCGTATTTAATATGAAAATTTTGTTATCCTTATTTTACCTATATTATTTTATTAAATGTACTTATAAGTAGTGCAAGTCAAATTAAGTCAGACAATTTTATTTACCATTAAAATTAATTTTAGATCTAATAAATTTTCCAGATTAATGTAACTTTCTTACTAAACAGAGACTTTCCCTCGAAAAAAAGTCAGATGAAAAATTGCTTTTTTGAAAGAACAAAATTTTCTAAATTCTCGTAATTTTACTATCAGTAGTAAAAGTCAATTTCAGTCAGACACAAGTGATAAAAAAATTTATAAATTCCTTTTTTTCTGTTATCAGTAGTAAAAGTAAAGCATAGTCAGACTAATTACTAGTTTTTAAAGAAATAAGTCTGTTGATATAAAGTAATAGAAACTATCATGTCAGTCATAGCTTTCTTACTGTATAAATTAAGAAAAAAATAATTAATATATATATTTTTTAAAATACGCACAATTTTTACAAATACAAGGTGGGAGATTTACAATACGCTTCGCCAGCAACAGTCTCAAGAGCTGGTATGGTTTACGTGGACCCGAAAAATCTCGGCTATCAGCCCTACATTGACCGATGGATAAACACACGATCCGAATCTGAGAGAGAATTATTAAAAACTCTATGCGAAAAATACATTCACAGTGCTATCAAATTGATTATTGACGGAATGCTCGGATTGCAACAGGTGCAACCACTGAAGATGATTTTGCCCCAAACTGCACTAAATATGGTACTCATTCCTTTAATCTTTCGTTTAACGTTTAAAAAATCTAGTCCACCTGCAATGGTAAAATTTCCTGCCATCAAATTTACACAAGAAATAAAGATAAGAAGAAAAAAGAATTGAATTTTTAATTTTGCTATGGAGCAAGATTAAAAATTGAATTCTTAATTATTTTCTTTAACAGGTTACTCAACTGTGTTATATGTTCGATGGCCTACTACCTATTCAACCGGAAAACGAAACAGTTCCGATAGAAAGAAAAGAAACCGTCGCCACGATACAGACAACATCGACCGACAATCAAGCAAATTTGGACGAAGAATTAGAATTAAAAAATGAACTGTTAGAGGCGGTTTTTATACAGTCGTGTTATTGTTCACTGGGAGCAACTTTAGAGGCAGATTCAAGACTTGTTTTCGATGATTTTATGAAAAAAACAGCAGGACTAATGATGGTTGAGGATACCCCTGAAAAGCCAGCAACGACAAGTATGCTAATTAAAACTGTACACTAATAACTAATTAATTTAATTTAATAGCTATTACACATTATTTGGTTAATAAGTAATATTAATAATAATTTATTAGTAATAATTATTATTTGTATAACTATCATTAGTATTAATATTGATTAGTTAATTAATAAAAAATTAAAGTAGTTAAACAAGTAATTAGTTAATTAATTAATTAATTAATTAGTTATTTAATTGATTAATTAATTAAGTTTTTGTCATTAACAGGATATTTGCCAGTGACTTTACGAACGCTATACGAATACCTTTTGGATGTAGAGAAAAAAATTTGGATTCCTTGGAAGGGACGGGTTCCCAAATACATTCACGATAGAGATAAAAATTTTAGCGATATTTTAGTGCCAACTGTCGACACTCTACGGACAACTTGGTTCATTGATTTGATGAACGAACTCAAGAGACCCGTGCTTTTAGTTGGCGAAACCGGAACTTCAAAAACAGCAATTATTTTGGAATTTCTGAGAAATTTGAATAAAGACAAATTCGTAAGAACAAAATATTATAACAACTTTATTATTTAATAAATAAAATATAATAATTCAGTATAAATGAACCAAAAAAAATAACAAAAAATGACAAACATAATAAAAATAAATAAATAAACAAGTATTGATAAAGTTGATCGCAATTATCATTTTTCATAGAATCAATTACCGATAAATTTCTCATCACGAACAACTTCTTTGGATGTCCAAAGAAACATTGAATCGGCAGTGGAAAAAAGAACAAAAGACATTTTTGGACCACCGATTGGAAAAAAATTAATTGTCTTTATTGATGACATGAACATGCCACTGGTTGACACTTACGGTACTCAGCAACCAATAGCTCTCTTGAAATTGCTTTTAGAAAGAGGTGGATTTTACGATCGAGGAAAAGATCTCAATTGGATGAATATTAAGGATATATGTACGTTATTATTAATATTGTTAATAATATTTTGAATAGTTGTTCTTATTATTATTCTCATGAAATTTGAATTGGTAAAATTGTCTACTAATTTGAATCAGCAACTGACTTTTTGCTTTTGAAAAAGTAAATTTTACTAATCAATTAGTAGAAATGACTAATTATTAATAAAATTTACTAATTCAAAAGTAATTTTCAATCCTTATTTTATGTTTTTTTTATTTTTTACAATAAAATTTAATCATTAGTAGAACAAGTCAGTTATAATCAGGCAATATTTTTGTACAATAAAATTTAATTAGCAGTAGTACAAGTAAAGTTTAGTCAGACAATATTTTTTATCAGTTATTTTATATTTTTTAAAGTAAAATTTAATCATTAGTAGAAAAAGTCAGTTATAGTCAGACAATATTTTTGTGCAATAAAATGTAATTATCAGTAGTACAAATAACGTTTAATCACACAATATTTTTCATAGTAAAATTTAATAATTAGTAGTGCAAGTCAGATTTAGTCGGACAATATTTTTATAAAATAAAGTTTAATTACTAGTAGTATGAGTCACTTTTAGTCAGGCAATATTTTTTTCTCTATTTCTTATTATTGATTATAATAAAATTTAATTATCAGTAGTACAAGTCAGGCTTAGTTAGACAATATTTTTGTCGTTATTTCACCATTAAATTTAATTAACAGTAGTACAAGTCAAGTTTAGTCAGACAGTTAGTAAAAATTTGTACTAATTCAGATTTAGATAGAAATTACTGAGATTTTCTACTAAAAAATTTGTAAATTTTTTTACCAACAATTAGTCGAAATTTACTAATCAAAATCAGAAAAAGTCGTCCACGAAAAGGAATAACAATTAAGTGATATTTCTCTATTTATTAGTAAAATTCTAATAATTTAATTAGAAATAAAAATATGTTAATCACATTTTATGAACAGGTTTTTTGGGTGCAATGGGAAAAGCAGGCGGTGGACGAAATCTCGTTGATCCACGATTCATTTCAATGTTTTCAGTCTACAATGTCACTTTTCCAACTGACGAGACGCTGAATTATATTTACACAAAAATTCTAAGTGGACACTTGCAATTATTTGCCGAAGAAATTCAACAAATAGCGGCTCCAATTATTCAAATTACTTTGGAACTTTACAAAGTATCATCATCCTCTTTTTTAATACCCCTAAAGTTCTGAACGTTTCAATGAACCAAATTTCCCTAGATTTAAATTTTTGCAAAATTTTTAATTCCATTATTTGCTTTTTATTATAATTTTAAAAATTATAAATTCAATTTTTAAAATTATCTTGATTCAAACGTAACGAACTTGGGAACTATTTTTCCTTTTATTCTTAATTCCTGAAGTGTCATATGGTAAAGATTTGATGACTAAAATCTTTGCCATCGGAACTTATGGAGTTAAAAAATAATTATATAGTCACAGAGTACAAAAAAATTTATAATTATTTTTCAATTTAGTTAATAATCGTTGAATTGCCACCAACGCCTTCGAAATTCCACTATATATTCAATATGCGCGATCTGTCAAGAATCACAGCCGGACTCGTACAAAGTAATCCACGCTATTTTCCAGGTGTACAAAATTTTGTACGTTTGTGGCGAAACGAATTTGTGCGAGTAATGTGCGATCGACTTATCAATTCGGAGGTATAAACAAACAGTTTCTACTGTATTATAGAAAAAAAGAAATACAGAAATAGAAAAGAAATTTAAAAAAAAGAAAGAAATAGACAAACAAAAAAATAGGAAAAAACACAAGAAAAATTTTGTTGAATATTTTCGCTTTTTCAGGATTACAAACTTGTTTGTGAGCATTTAGAGGCGAAAATAAAATCAATTTGGGAGGATGAACGTCATGTTATTGAATACGCAATGCGTGATCCTCTACTTTTCGGTGACTTCCGTAACGCTTGTAACGAAGACGAACCGAGGTTTTATGAGGATTTACTCGATTATGAAGCAGTTTACACCCTATTTATGGAAGTAAGTAAACTCCCCCACCCCCAAAAAAACACCCGAACAAACTATTGCAATTTATTTTTTAAATTCAAAACTATAATTATTTTTTTTTAATTATACTAATTACTAATTTTTTTTTTGCTAATTTTTACTAATTTTCAGTCATTTTTCTCTAAAATATAAAAAAAAAACATTATAACATACTTTTTGGTCTTGATTTTATAATAACATTTAACTATTAGTAGTACAAGTCAGGTTAAGTCAGAAAATATTGTTTGTCATTATTTTACAATAAAATTTAATTAACAGTAGTACAAGTAATTTTAGTCAGACAATATTTTTTGCAGTTTTTTTAGAATTAAATTTAATTAACAGTAGTACAAGTCCATTTTAGTCAGACAATATCGAATTAAATAATTTTTATTTAAATCCAATAAATTGTAGGTACTCAAACCAATAATTTCAGTATTTAAAGCAAATGCCATTTAATTGATTCCAATAATTATTTATTTGATAATAGGAAAGTAATCGTTTATTTAAATCAAACAAACATTTTTTAGTCTAGTAAAATTTTACTAAAAATTTTTCATGTTCTTACTGATATGAAGCAGTGGCTCAATTTTTACTAAATCAGATTTACAGTCAAAAAATTTATTTGATTTACGTAAACGATGTCTAAATACTAAAATTATTAGTTCAAATACAGTTTTTTTCTTATATTTAGATAAAAATTATTTGATTTAACTAAATATTTATTTGATAATAGACAAGTAATCGGTTTGTTGAATTAAATAATATTTTTTTTTAATTTGGAGAGCAAAAATAGATAAAGTAAATGAATAAAAAATACATAAAAATAAATAAAGTAGAATAAAGTAAATAAAAAAATTAAAAAATACATAAAAATAAATAAAATACAGTGAATAAAAAAATGCATAAAAATAAACAAACATAAGTAAATAAAAAATACATAAAAATGAGTAAAATAGAGTGAATAAAAAAATACACGCTGCTTTTCAAAGGATATCAAATTGAGACAAAAAACGAATCAAAAGTTCATTTTCATTCATCAAAAATTCATTTTTTGTCTTAATTTGTCATCCTTTGAAAGTGTCATAAAAATAAGTGAAATAGAGTAAATAATAAAATAAAATAAAATTAAATAATAAAATAAAATAAAATAAATAAAAAAATACATAAAGAGAAATAAAATAAATATGCAAAAATTAAAGAAAAGTGAAAAATACTAAATTTTTACTAATTGTTTACTAATTGTAAACATTTTCACGCACAGATTCTAGAGGAATACAACGAAAAGGGTTCGAAATTAAAAATGGTCCTCTTTAACGATGCATTGGAGCATTTAACGAGAGTTCATCGCACAATTCGACAGTATCGTGGACATGTTTTAGTGGTGGGAATTGGTGGCAGTGGGAAACAATCGGTCATTAGATTGGCGGCATTTGCGGCAAATTGTGAAATTTTCGAAATCACATTGAATCGAGGCTACAATGAAAATTCATTTCGCGAGGACATGAAAATTCTCTACAATAAAGTTGGTGTGGAAAATAAGCGAACTGTCTTTCTTTTCACTGCCGCTCACATTGTTGACGAGAGCTTTCTCGAAATTGTCAACAATATGCTAATGATCGGCGTTGTTCCTGCACTATTCACCGACGAGGAGAAGGATTCTGTGATCAATTCCTGTCGACAGCAGGCAAAATTGGCTGGTTACGGTGTCACCAAGTCAGTTTTTGATTATCACAATTATTTTATGATTCTTATTATAAATTATAATCATAATAATAATTATTAATTATTATTATAATTATAATAATTATGTATAATTATAATTATAATTATAATTATAATTATAATTATAATTATTAATCCCATAATTTTTTAAATTGAACAATAATAGAGGAATGAGAGAAATAAATTAATTCAAAACTTTCTATTAAAAAATTAAGCTAAAAGTATAAAAAGTCAGGAAAATAAAAAAAAATCTTTTTCACACAGAGAAAATGTTTGGAACTATTTTGTAAAAACGAGCGTATCAAATTTGAGAATTGCCCTGTCAATGAGTCCGTCAGGTGACGTTTTAAGATCGCGATGTCGAAGTTATCCCGGTCTTGTGAACAGCACAACGATTGATTGGATGTTCCCCTGGCCGGAACAAGCACTTTACGCTGTTGCCAATGTAATTTTAATCGATGTACGTATTTTATAATATTAAAAAAATATATTCTATTTTTTTTTTGTAATAAATAATTCTGAAAAAAAAATCGTTTACAGAATCCAAATATTCCCGAACAACATAGAGAACCCATCGTTCAACACATTGTCGACGTTCACATTTCCGTTGGTCATTACACTGACGATTTTCTCACGAAACTTCGTCGAAAAAATTACGTTACACCAAAACACTATCTTGATTTTATCAATACTTATTTGAATCTCCTGACGGAGAAGAAAGAATTTATCACTGGACAATGTGAACGACTATCTGGAGGTACTTTTAATTTTTACATTCCCATCATTAAAAAAATTAATTCTAGTAAACGATTAATCGTCTATTATCAAAAAAATATTTATTTGTATCAAACGATTTTTAATTTTTTTTAAGAGAACTAAATTGTATTTGTAAAAATAAATATTTGACAAAAAATAAATTTGAATGTTGATAAATCAAATTTTTTTAGGACTGACAAAAATTGCGGAAGCGTCCGACACTTTAGAGGAGTTGAATGCAATGTTGGCGATTCAAAGAGTGAAGGTCGACGAGCAAACGATGAATTGCGAGCAATTATTAAAATCAATTGGTGAAAGTACGAATATTGCGAAGGAAAAGCAAACAATTAGTATGGAGAAACGTCAGGAGATTGAAGTGCAAAATAAAATAATTGTTAAGGAATCAAAAGAAGCAAAGACAGCTTTAGCGGAAGCTCAACCAGCTCTCGAAGGTGCCAGATTGGCACTCAACGATTTAGAGAAAGGCGACATTACTGAAATTAGGTTTCAGCAATTTTTTCCTCTCTTCAAAATATTTCTTCTTTTTTTACTCAAAAATTTTTCTAATTCAAATTCTTTTACTTCAAGTTGTTATATTTCAAATTTTTTCTACTTAATATTTTTCTACTTTAAAATTTTGTATACTTTAAATTTTCCTACTTCAGCTATTTTTTAACTTTCAATTTTCCTAACGTTAGATTTTTTACTATGAATTTGCTTACATTAAATTTTTTACAAATTTTTCGCCTCAATTTGATATCTTTAGAAAAAATAACAATGTAACTTTTTTTACAATAGATTTTTTACTAGATATTAAAAATGTATTTTAATTTTAATTTTTTTTCAAAGATCGTTCGCAACACCACCGGAACCAGTACAAGTAGTATGCGAAGCGATTTCGATAATTCGAGGGGCGAAGGAAATCTCGTGGAAAATCGCAAAGGGAATGATGAGTGATCCTAATTATTTGCGAACGCTGCAAGAAATGAATTGCGATCTCATTACTCTCAAACAACAGCAAATGGCTAAGGCTCATCTGAAAAGATCCAACAAAATGGAGCAAATGAAAATTATCAGTCAAGCTGGTTATGGACTCTATAAATTTTTACTAGCCGTTCTAGATTACTGCGCAGTTTTTCGAGAAGTAAATAAAAAAAATATTCTACACTCAAAATATTTAAATATAGAAAATATTCTGAAAATATTTTCTACTATCCAAAATATTCTAGTAAAAAAAATTCTACTTTAAAAATATTTCAGTAAAAAATATTTTACTATAGAAATATTCTAGTCAAATGTATTCGAGTAAAAAATATTGTAGTAAAAAATTTTCTTCTACAAAAAATATATTAGTAAAAAATATTTTAGTAAATAATATTCTTGTACGAAAATATTCTGCTATGGAAATATTTTAGTACAAAATATTCTTCTAAAAAATATTCTATTAGAAAGTATTCTATTAAAAAATATTCTACTACAAAAATATTTCTAAAAAAAATATACTACTACAAAAATATTTCAGTAAAACATATTCTGATATAAAAGAATTCTAGTAAAAAATATTCTACTACAAAAATATTTAATTAAAATATATTCTACTACAAAAATATTTTAGTACAACATATTCTACTACAAAAATATTATACTATACAAATATTTTAGTAAAAAAAATTCTACTTTAAAAATATTTCAGTCAAAAATATTCTACTATAGAAATATTCTAGTCAAATGTATTCGAGTAAAAAATATTGTAGTAAAAAATTTTCTTCTACAAAAAATATATTAGTAAAAAATATTTTAGTAAATAATATTCTTGTACGAAAATATTCTGCTATGGAAATATTTTAGTACAAAATATTCTTCTAAAAAATATTCTATTAGAAAGTATTCTATTAAAAAATATTCTACTACAAAAATATTTCTAAAAAAAATATACTACTACAAAAATATTTCAGTAAAACATATTCTGATATAAAAGAATTCTAGTAAAAAATATTCTACTACAAAAATATTTAATTAAAATATATTCTACTACAAAAATATTTTAGTACAACATATTCTACTACAAAAATATTATACTATACAAATATTTTAGTAAAAAAAATTCTACTTTAAAAATATTTCAGTCAAAAATATTCAGCTATAAAAAAATTCTAGTGAAATGTATTCGAGTAAAAAATATTGTAGTAAAAAATTGTCTACCTACTACCAAAAATATATTACTAAAAAATATTGTAGTAAAAAATATTCTAGTAAATAATATTTTACTACGAAAATATTCTGCTATAAAAATATTTTAGTAAAAAATATTTTACTTAAAAATATTCTACTAGAAAGTATTTTACTTAAAAATATTCTACTAGAAAATATTTTACTTCAAAATATTCTACTAGAAAGTATTTTATTAAAAACTATTCTACTACAAAAATATTTCAGTAAAAAATATTCTAGTACAAAAATATTCTAGTGAAAAGTATTCTAGTAAATAATATTCTACTACAAAAATATTCTAGTAAAAATATTCTACTAAAAAGTATTCTAATAAAAAATATTCCCTTACGAAAAATATAATAAAAATAGAAAATAGATCAAAAATTGAAATCTACATTTCATTTAAAGAAAAACGTACGATAGTAATAGCGTAGTAAGTAGTAGTATTTATAGCAACTAATAGCATTAATTTATTTCTAATTCAAAAAAAAAATATTCCAACTTTCGTTCATTTCAGGTAAAGCCGAAAATGGACAGAGTGAAAATACTCGAAGCAGAGGCGGAGAAAGCGCGAAAAGCACTCGACAAGGAGGAAAGGGAATTGAAACGAATTGAAAAGCAATTATCGGAATTGAATGCAAAATATGAGATTGCAATGGAGGAGAGACAAAAATTACAGGACGAAACTGATCTTCTTCAGCGACGATTAATAGCCGCTGATAAATTAATGAATGGCCTCGCCTCGGAGAATATACGCTGGCAAAATGATTTAGAAGATCTTCGCGAGGAACTCGAGAAAATTATTGGCAATTGTTTACTGTCAGCTGGATTTTTAGCCTACAATGGTCCATTCTCGTATGAATTTAGAAACGAAATGGTCTACAATAATTGGCAGACGAATATTTTAAATAAGAAAATACCACTGACACAACCCTTCCGATTGGAGACGCAATTAAGCAACGATGTCGAAATTACTGGGTATTCTTTTAATAAAATAATAAAATAATTTTTTTTAAATCTGGGGAAATTCGAAATTAAAAAAAGTGAATTAACAGATAATAAATAAATAAATAAACAAATAATAAATGAATAAGTAAGCAAATTAGTAAATAAAAAACAAGTAAATGAATTAGCCAATAAATAAGAAAATTAGTAAATAAAGAAACAAGTAAATCCATTAGCAAATAAATAAGTAAAAAAACAAGAAAATAATTAAACAAAAAAACACAAAAAGTAAAAAATAATATTGAATAGAAAATAATTTTAAAATAATTTAAAATTCGAATAAATTTAGATTCAGAAAAAAAATAAAGAAAGTAGAAAATAATATTAAAAGAAAAATAAAAAATTTCAATTTTCTACAATTTATTTTTTTACCAATTAAAACAAATATTGTAATATTTCCTATATTGATTTCAAGATGGAATTCAGAAGGTCTACCGCCTGATGAATTATCGATACAAAATGGAATTTTCACAACAAGAGCTTCAAGATTTCCCTTGTGCATTGATCCACAACAGCAGGCACTCAATTGGATCAAGAAACGGGAGGAGAAAAATAATTTAAAAATAATTACTTTCAATGATTCCGATTTTCTTAAACAAGTGGAAATGGGCGTGACGTATGGATTTCCGATATTATTCCAGGACGTCGATTTCATCGATCCAGTGTTGGATAATGTTTTATCGAAAAATATTCAAAGTACGAAAATTTTCATATTTTTCAAAAATGTTTATTCTTATAATTATTATTCATCATCTATAATTATTATTCATCATCGATAATTATTATTCATTTCAAGACAATGTTATTTGTCTTCTAGGAAAGATTAATTATAATTTTGTAATATTTCAATCAGATTTAATTTTTTTACAATTTTAAATGTTCTGTCTGCCAAAAATCAAGATTTAATACTGAAAAAGTTTTCAAAAATCTAAACCTTCCTTGTCTGACATAAAGTAACTTTTACCACTAATAGAAAATTTAGGTTTCGACTAACTGAAACTGTTTTACTAATGAAAAAATAATTACACTATTTTGTCTGACTAAAAATTTATTTTACTACTAACTATTTATTAGGGTGTTAATAATTAATAGTAGACAGTTTTAAAAAAATTAAACACATTTTATCATTTTGTGTTATATTGTTTAATAATTGAAATGATTTAAAATGATTTGTCTGACTGAAATTGAGTTTTACTACTGAAACAAGTATCAAGAATGTAAATCACCTTCTGAATCAAATTAACGTTTACTATTAAAAGAAAATTTAGGTTGAAAAGCCTTGGCTGATTAGAAATTGACTTGTACTACTTAAAAAAATTCAGCAGAAATGTAAAACACTTTGAAAGACTCGATTTAATTTTTACTACTAAAATTGAAAAGGCAGGAAAGTCAAAACACTTTCCGACGGACTAAAATTGACCGTTACTACTGCAATAATAAATACGGAATATTTTTGTCTGACTAAAATTATTATTTTCTACTAGAAAAAGTTATAGAATAAGTTTAATAAATTTTTCAGATCAAATATAAATTCTATACATTATTTTTTTTATATTTTATTTTTGTCTAAATTTTCTGCGATCTATTTTTAAAAAATAAATTTTTTTAAATTTATCTTGTTGAAATTGGCACTTATTTCTATTTATAAAGTAACAAGAATATGTTTTGTCTGACTATAAATGACTCGTACTACTGATTTAAAGATTTCTAAAGTACGTCAATTTAGTATACGGTAACTATTTTTTCCACATAAAATATTTCTTGATTTTTTTTATTTCTAAAAACAGTAGAACAAATATCTTCATTTATGTAGGCTCGGTGAAACTAGCGACCCGCCGGCGGGTGGGGACGCTGGCTATCAAAAATTAATTAAGAACATTTTCAATTGTCACATTTTAAAGAGCATTACTCCCCCTTTAATTTGCGACCAAGAAACAAAAAATTGGTCAAAAATTATTCAAGTTATGAATTTTTGTTGAACTTTTTTACCAATTTTCGTTTTTCTGATAAGGGCGGGTGGGAACGCTGGCTTAAAAAATTGATTTAGAACATTTTCAATTGTCACATTTTAAAGAGCATTACTCCTCCTTTAATTTGTGACCAAGAAACAAAAAATTGGTCAAAAATTATTCAAGTTATGAATTTTTGTTGAACTTTTTTACCAATTTTCGTTTTTCTGATAAGGGCGGGTGGGAACGCTGGCTATCAAAAATTTATTTAGAACATTTTCAATTGTCACATTTTAAAGAGAATTACTCCCCCTTTAATTTGTGACCAAGAAACAAAAAATTGGTCAAAAATTATTCAAGTTATGAATTTTTGTTGAACTTTTTTACCAATTTTCGTTTTTCTGATAAGGGCGGGTGGGAACGCTGGCTTAAAAAATTGATTTAGAACATTTTCAATTGTCACATTTTAAAGAGAATTACTCCCCCTTTAATTTGTGACCAAGAAACAAAAAATTGGTCAAAAATAATTCAAGTTATGAATATTTTTTCGATTTTTTCTCCAATTTTCGTTTTTCTGATAAGGGCGGGTGGGGATGCTGGCTATCAAAAATTTATTTAGAACATTTTCAATTGTCACACTTTAAAGAGCATTACTCCCCCTTTAATTTGCGACCAAGAAACAAAAAATTGGTCAAAAATAATTCAAGTTATGAATATTTTTTCGATTTTTTCTCCAATTTTCGTTTTTCTGATACGGGCGGGTGGGAACGCTGGCTATCAAAAATTTATTAAGAACATTTTCAATTGTCACATTTTAAAGAGCATTACTCCCCCTTTAATTTGTGACCAAGAAACAAAAAATTGGTTAAAAATTATTCAAGTTATGAATGTTTGTTGAACTTTTTTACCAATTTTCGTTTTTCTGATACGGGCGGGTGGGGACGCTGGCTATCAAAAATATATTTAGAACATTTTCAATTGTCACATTTTAAAGAGAATTACTCCCCCTTTAATTTGCGACCAAGAAACAAAAAATTGGTCAAAAATTATTCAAGTTATGAATTTTTGTTGAACTTTTTTACCAATTTTCGTTTTTCTGATACGGGCGGGTGGGGACGCTGGCTATCAAAAATTTATTTAGAACATTTTCAATTGTCACATTTTAAAGAGAATTACTCTCCCTTTAATTTGTGACCAAGAAACAAAAAATTGGTCAAAAATAATTCAAGTTATGAATATTTTTTCGATTTTTTCTCCAATTTTCGTTTTTCTGATACGGGCGGGTGGGGACGCTGGCTATCAAAAATTTATTAAGAACATTTTCAATTGTCACATTTTAAAGAGCATTACTCCCCCTTTAATTTGCGACCAAGAAACAAAAAATTGGTCAAAAATTATTCAAGTTATGAATTTTTGTTGAACTTTTTTACCAATTTTCGTTTTTCTGATACGGGCGGGTGGGGACGCTGGCTATCAAAAATTTATTTAGAACATTTTCAATTGTCACATTTTAAAGAGAATTACTCCCCCTTTAATTTGCGACCAAGAAACAAAAAATTGGTCAAAAATAATTCAAGTTATGAATATTTTTTCGATTTTTTCTCCAATTTTCGTTTTTCTGATACGGGCGGGTGGGAACGCTGGCTATCAAAAATTTATTTAGAACATTTTCAATTGTCACATTTTAAAGAGCATTACTCCCCCTTTAATTTGCGACCAAGAAACAAAAAATTGGTCAAAAATTATTCAAGTTATGAATTTTTGTTGAACTTTTTTACGAATTTTCGTTTTTCTGATAAGGGCGGGTGGGAACGCTGGCTTAAAAAATTGATTTAGAACATTTTCAATTGTCACATTTTAAAGAGAATTACTCCCCCTTTAATTTGTGACCAAGAAACAAAAAATTGGTCAAAAATAATTCAAGTTATGAATATTTTTTCGATTTTTTCTCCAATTTTCGTTTTTCTGATAAGGGCGGGTGGGGATGCTGGCTATCAAAAATTTATTTACAACATTTTCAATTGTCACATTTTAAAGAGAATTACTCCCCCTTTAATTTGTGACCAAGAAACAAAAAATTGGTCAAAAATTATTCAAGTTATGAATTTTTGTTGAACTTTTTTACCAATTTTCGTTTTTCTGATACGGGCGGGTGGGGACGCTGGCTATCAAAAATTAATTAAGAACATTTTCAATTGTCACATTTTAAAGAGCATTACTCCCCCTTTAATTTGCGACCAAGAAACAAAAAATTGGTCAAAAATTATTCAAGTTATGAATTTTTGTTGAACTTTTTTACCAATTTTCGTTTTTCTGATACGGGCGGGTGGGGACGCTGGCTATCAAAAATTTATTTAGAACATTTTCAATTATCACATTTTAAAGAGCATTACTCCCCCTTTAATTTGCGACCAAGAAACAAAAAATTGGTCAAAAATTATTCAAGTTATGAATTTTTGTTGAACTTTTTTACGAATTTTCGTTTTTCTGATAAGGGCGGGTGGGAACGCTGGCTTAAAAAATTGATTTAGAACATTTTCAATTGTCACATTTTAAAGAGCATTACTCCCCCTTTAATTTGTGACCAAGAAACAAAAAATTGGTCAAAAATTATTCAAGTTATGAATTTTTGTTGAACTTTTTTACGAATTTTCGTTTTTCTGATACGGGCGGGTGGGGACGCTAGCTATCAAAAATTTATTAAGAACATTTTCAATTGTCACATTTTAAAGAGCATTACTCCCCCTTTAATTTGTGACCAAGAAACAAAAAATTGGTCAAAAATTATTCAAGTTATGAATTTTTGTTGAACTTTTTTACCAATTTTCGTTTTTCTGATACGGGCGGGTGGGGACGCTGGCTATCAAAAATTTATTAAGAACATTTTCAATTGTCACATTTTAAAGAGCATTACTTCCCCTTTAATTTGCGACCAAGAAACAAAAAATTGGTCAAAAATTATTCAAGTTATGAATGTTTGTTGAACTTTTTTACCAATTTTCGTTTTTCTGATACGGGCGGGTGGGGACGCTGGCTATCAAAAATTAATTAAGAACATTTTCAATTGTCACATTTTAAAGAGCATTACTCCCCCTTTAATTTGCGACCAAGAAACAAAAAATTGGTCAAAAATTATTCAAGTTATGAATTTTTGTTGAACTTTTTTACCAATTTTCGTTTTTCTGATACGGGCTGTTGGGAACGCTGGCTATCAAAAATTTATTAAGAACATTTTCAATTGTCACATTTTAAAGAGCATTACTCCCCCTTTAATTTGCGACCAAGAAACAAAAAATTGGTCAAAAATAATTCAAGTTATGAATATTTTTTCGATTTTTTCTCCAATTTTCGTTTTTCTGATAAGGGCGGGTGGGGATGCTGGCTATCAAAAATTTATTTAGAACATTTTCAATTGTCACATTTTAAAGAGAATTACTCCCCCTTTAATTTGCGACCAAGAAACAAAAAATTGGTCAAAAATTATTCAAGTTATGAATTTTTGTTGAACTTTTTTACCAATTTTCGTTTTTCTGATACGGGCGGGTGGGGACGCTGGCTATCAAAAATTTATTTAGAACATTTTCAATTATCACATTTTAAAGAGCATTACTCCCCCTTTAATTTGCGACCAAGAAACAAAAAATTGGTCAAAAATTATTCAAGTTATGAATTTTTGTTGAACTTTTTTACCAATTTTCGTTTTTCTGATACGGGCGGGTGGGGACGCTGGCTATCAAAAATTTATTA